GACCTCATAAGCCTATACTTTCTCATCTTCTTACCTATAGGTCCAACTCGTTATGTTCTACAGTATGTTAACCCATGGATTCTTCCAAATAAAAATGAGACCCTTAATTATATTTGCACATGAGAGAAATAAAGAAAGGCGCTCGTGAATCGGTTGCCTGCTTGTCGTGATTGGGCAGATGGATACACCTCTACCACTAGTGGGATGTCTAATCAATAGCATCGCTTATTCTATATCGTTGTTCAGGCGTCATTGTATAGTCAATAATAGTATTAGGCATTATAGGATAGGTGCTTTTCGTTAAAATTTTGTAGTAATAGTAGTAATTCTAGTCATGAGTCATGATTGGCGAAGAAAAACAATTAAAAAATCGGAAAAAAAATGGTAACATCAAAAATGAAACAGATAGGTCAAAAGATGGACGATATATTTTACAAGTGTTACAAATTAATTGTTTGTTCAACATACTTTTAACGCAATAATTGCTAATAGTTCCTAGATGTTACAATTCAAAAATGTTACAGATACAATTATGAAGATTTAAAAAAAAAATAACAAAAATTGAAAGCCATGTCTGTTTCAATTAGAAAATTTAATTTTATAATATTTATATTGTGTTTTAGAGGTAATAATTGATCGAATATAAACACATTAATATTTTTCATTACTTTTCTTTCTTGGGAAAAATGTGAAGGAACAGTTAGAAAAGAGTACAAAGTCTTCCAAAATACCCATATCCCACGTGACTAAATTGATGTCATCAATTGACTAAGGGTAATATTAATAGCTTCAATAGAAACCGTAAAACAATGTCACTATTTGACAGCCATTTTCATTAAATTTCTTGTTTTACCAGATCACGTGACATACGTATCATCATGCATACCATTTCTCTTATATTATATAGATTTATATTCGATATACAGGATGTTTCTAAATTCATGCGACAAAATTCAGGAGGTGTTTGCTCGTATAACAAATTTTCCTTAGATCACCTCTTTACGAGATATCACCCTTAAAAGGTGGTGACTAAAATTAAGTTTTTATTTTTTTCTAAAATGTCAATAAAGCTAGAAACTTAAAATTCTGTAATTTTCGTGCACTCGCAAAGGACTAACCACGGGTATTTTTTCAATATTCCTGTTACATTATAGGAATATGTTAGAATAGGAATACCTGTTCCAAGAGTTCAAGATTCATCAAAATATTTGTATTGTCCATCTCTAATCTCTATTACTAAACTTTCATTAATTTCTTGACACAGAGACGAACTCAGTTTGTTTTGTTTTGGATCTTTTACTTTTTAAATATACGTTTTTTTGAAATATTCTTAAAAATTTAAACAAAAACATCCATTATTCCAATACTTTTAAAAGTCTGTAAAATATAAATATACTTAATGAAGACATTAATGAGTGTGACAGTGGTTTTTCTAAAGAAATTAACATTAAAATTATAGCATTTGTGTGCTAAAGCTAAACAAATATTACAAAAGCTGAAGGAATAACGGAAAGCTATTATAAAAATTGTATTTTAAATTGGTATAGCTGAAAGAAAAATATATCGTATTTTAAAAGATGGTCCGAAAGAAATCAAAATCGAAAAGACGAAGATCACAAAAAAGAACTAGAGCCATCTATGGCGAAAATAGCTCGTTACATAAAGAGGAAAGTGAAGAATAAGAAAGAGAAAAGTAGAAGAAAATAAGATAAAGAAATAACCAAGTTAATATTGGAAATGAATCAAATAAAAATATTAACATTTAAATAATTTTGTTATCTGAAGCCATGGGCGTCGTTACACAATTCTATAGGGAGGAGCAACATTTTGAAAAAAAAATTATTTAGAATGTTTATTTGTTGGAAAAATAAAGAAACAATACAAAATAACAAAAGTCTCTTTAATAAAGAAAATAACCCAACCAAAAAGACTAAAATAAAAACAAGAAACTTAAAACACATATTTTTAAAAAACAAACAGAAGGTATGATATAAAAGAAAAAAGGAACAAGAAGACACAGCCATACATATTAATGAAAAAATATGTATAGAAACACAAAAATATAAAAAAATCACTCAAACATGTCGACGAACACAAAAAAAAACACTTTAGGAAAACGCAAATTTAAAATTTCTTCTTTTTTTTTACCAAAAATATCGATAACAAAAGGCATAATTTCTTTTTTGGTTTTCCGCGATTATTTTTCGATCTAAGCTCATGCATGGCCCAGTCAGCCTATTATCATTCGTTATTCACTCCGTGTGTGACAGCAGCGCCAACTGATTTATGAACTAATGGACAATATTTGCGTATACTGACAAAACAATTTTTAATTGAATTAAAAAATATATATGTTGATTTTAATAGAAGTATATGGATTTGTAAAACAAGTGAAAAAATTAATTTAATTAATGATTATAACTGGTTTCCTATCAATAAGTCACAAGATTGCATTCCAGCCGCATACTATAATCAAAGGCAGAAATCTAGTTCTTGCTGAACATTTAAGATTTAAGGGATGTTGAAGAATGTCGTTAAATAATAATTTATTGTTTATTTAAACCCTTTCAATATCCTGATGTTTACTATTTCCAGAAAAAGTATTATTGCTATTATTATAAAAATAAAGGTAATTTTTTCTTATTGTACAGCTATCCATCTTTCGTACTCTAGTTAGCTATCCACGTCTAATATTCAGCTTCAAAATGATCGATTCCAAATTTTTGCACTATTTTCTTTTACTGATCTTACTCGTTGTTGATTAAGTTGTAAAAGGGGGGGGGGGCAACTGCCCTCCTTGCCCCCCCCCCCCAAACGACGCCCATGTCTGAAGCATATAGAAAGGTTGATCAACAAGTCTTTAGAAAAAAATAGAGAAACAAATTATTTTTAGTAGATTGTTCCATACCTCGTTCCATACACTTTTCTAAACGTTTATCCAACTTTTTTAAACCATCTAAAAAGTAAGATTTAGGAAGGTCCTCAAAATAGGCACCTGATTGGCGATGACCTCCTCGTTCGACGCGAACCGTTGTCTACCAAGTTTGGACATAAAAAAGACACCGGGGACCAAATCCGGTGAATAAGGTGGATGTTGTTATTTCTTGCTTGAATCGACAATAAAAATGAAACCATTTGATGGATATAATTGATACTTTGTCAGCTGCTAGTGAGTAATAAAAACAAACCGTTTTCGATGTCACGATCTTCGTAATTCCGTAGAAATATCAACTACGGTAGCGCTCACATTCATTTGTGAGCCAGTTTTGTGGTAAAGAGACACCGGCTTCGAATCCTACAAAGACGATGTGAATTTATTTGTATGTTTCTCTATAGGATTTAATGGATACCGTATTAGCAGAAATGTAATTTCTATTGATATGACATCCAGATTATAAAAATCACCATGCATTACCGTTTTTGTTGATGGTGGGTGGGGTTTGCCGAGTTTTCTTCACCGGTAAGTCAAATGGCGCCATCATTAATCTTTAAGTTGCCCCGGAGCGCCACGGCAAATAATAATAGCCGTCCCTTCCCCTACACAAGTCGCATAGTCGACTTCAGGGGATAAAATTATCTCGTAAGGGGAGTATTATTTTAGATAAGTTATTCTTTAGTTTTTTAAATTATTTGCATTAGAATATTAAATAGCTGTAAAAAATATTGATATGCATATCTCAAAAATCATTTGAATAAAAATGTTTCAATGCGGATCTGTCTAGACAAGATAATCGCAATCTGTGTAAGCACGAGTCGTTTTTTTGTATAATTTTTTCTTCGCCAATGGCTGGAAGTAGTATTATAATGGTAAAATAATTAATCAGAAGAATCCACCGAAATGTAATTATCAGTCCATCAGCCCAGCACTGTTGGTACACAAGAAATTTTGTGCAGATTCTATTACGAAAACAAAAAACTACTAAAATAACCCCGTAGTGTTAGAAAAAAAGAAAACCCAAGAGCAAATACCTACACAGGAGATCTACTTCCTAGAATATGGGGTCTAATAGAATAAAGAAGAAAGGATAGTCAGAGGTCGTGGGTGGTGATAGTGATGGTGGGCCCAAACATAAACAACATAATTATAATGATCCTATACATAATTTTTTTAGTGCCATCAAGATTAGTTTAAGCACTAAAATTGCGAATTAAATAATAAAGATCTTATTCTAACTTAATTTGATTTATGAAAATACTTTCAAGTGCTTTAGAATACGTCCAACAAGTTTTTTATACATTTCGTATTTAAAGCACCACAGTACCTATATAAATAGTAAAATTAAACATAGTTCCAAGTACTAGGTATTACCAATTATTAATATATACAATATTATAAAAGATATAAGTAAAACACTTTATTAAATAAAATTTGTTTAACATGTTTAAGGGGTAAATAAAATTATCAATCAGATACATGTGTATTTTATAAAAAAATTATATATTTTTTGAAATATAGAGTTAGAAATACAACTTTAAGAAGTTTTATCAATGAATTTTCACTCAAAATGTGTTTTTTTAGTAAATTTTGATAATACATCTGTTTCAGAAATAAACAACATTGCCTATATATTTTGGTTGTTTTAACCATGATTTGGTGTGGGGTTTTGGATCTAAATAGCCCTGTTTTTGAATAAAACGACTGTGGTTTGTAATCAGGTGTGAAAATATTCATGTAAATTACTTACCTACATATTAGGTGTAAAATATCTATTGGTTTCATTGATAACTAATCATTAGAAGTAACTTTCGGGGGTTTGTATTGAATTGAAAGTGTTGTTGAATTGACAATACTTTCCACGTTATCTGTGCGTTTTAGGGGTTCATAAGACTGTTTTAGTCAAGAGAACAGATATATTTTTGGATTGTTTGCGTAAAACATATGTTTTAGGGGTGCATAAGTTTTATTCGGTTAGTTTTTAAGCTTTTCTAGTGAAATTGAAGTGAAATATAGATGTTGTGTTTACTACATGTATGTTTGAAGATAGTTGGGTGGTAGTTACCTGATCTAGTTGTCCTAGGGCGATATCTGCATCTACCCAGCCGGGTCTGGTATAAAGATCTGACTTGTGCCTCTCTGTCGACTCCGTCGTCGAGTCCGATGGCGCCATGGAGGCCATCCTCGACGAACACACGGTTCCAGCACGGGTAGCACTCAGGCCCAATCATCGGCAATCCTTACACTGCACATTTGACCCTCTGGAGCCACCATCCACTGTCACTAATTGCTTCCCCTGCGACAGGACTCCGACACGGCGAGTCCACCACAGTTCCGTTGCTTCAACATGCTTTCAAAAGTAAACAATTCGTACAAGATTGTGAGAAAAAATCGGGCTCGTTCGCACCTGGCTCGCACACTGAACTGAAGTGAACAGACTTTTCTGCTCGGTTCTATGTGGTTGCTTTGATTGTAATTCCCGGCCCCGTCGAGATGGGTCGACCGTGGCCGAAGCCGGACCACCCACGTTTCTGTTTAGAATGTAAATTCTCCAAATCATATTACTTATGTTTTTTGTCACCATCTCGCCGTATGTCCTCACAATAGATTTCTTGATAAACTCGTCTTTTATCTGCAACTGGGTGAAATTTACAATCGCTCATCCACTTTCTCACCCATTTCGTATTTTTTTTTATTTTCTTAGAAACATTTTCGATTATTGTATCAAATAAAAACATCAATTTGATAGATATGTACTTGAATACTAATTTTGACGGGTCTTTTAATGTTAATACCTAATAGTTTAGTTGGACGGTGTTAACATTTTTAGTAAAACATCATAAAATGAAAAATGAAAAAACTACTAAATTATTAACAATTCGGGGAGAGGGGTTGTAACCCCTAAACCACCCAATGAGTGCGCCTCTGGGGGTGGTCCACTGGGCTCAACAATTAACTATTACAACAAAGATAATAACATTTGTGTTTTTAATTGGTAAAATGTATTTATTATATTATGTATTCTTTAATTAAAATAATTATTGGCTGATCTCTATGGCAGAACCGAATATGTCAATATTTAAATATAGGTAATATAGGAACAGGGCCGTCATAAGATATTCGGCATCCTTGGGCTACTAAAAATGTTTTGGCCATACATTGAGTTAATTAAGAAAATTTCTAGATGTTCTTAGAGTAAAACAACCTGAGTATCAAGACGCTTCTCCTTAAAAAATAATACAGTTGAAAAATATAGCTTATGTAACATTTTGCTTCTTGATAATCGGGTAAAACTGCTGAAGTAACTTTTGTTTTCTTAAAACAAGGATCAACGACTTAAGAAATTTTATCCTGCATAATGCGGCCCTTTTCATTAAAAAATACATTGGCAAAGTTATAAAAAAGTATCAGAACTATAAAAAGTAAATTTATTGCCATTTATAGTAAAAAAAAAACATAAATTTCATACAAAATTATCTACCTAATTGTAGGGCATATAAATTATTCTCATTGACTTTCTTTGTTTCTATTTTTGTCTCTGACTAAGTTATTCATTTTTAGGAATATTAAATCAGATATTTCGTCCTGTAATCGGGTATATTTCATTTAAAACGGAATATATGTAGGCTTAAGTAATAGTACATAAAAGTATAGTAGATTTTTGGCTTCAAAATAATACGATTTGAGCAAACTTGCCTCAATATAATCCCAGACAACACACCAAATCCCAGAGATATCCACAGAATATCTTTTGTGGATATCCAATATATCCACAGGATATCAGAAATATTCCGTGGATCTAATATGGATATCCAAATGTCCGTCTATATCCAGAATATAGAAGATATCCTATGGATTATCCAGCAAAATATCTAATGGGTATCTTCCAGACAATACGAGAAATCCCAGAGATATCCACAGAATATATTTTGTGGATATCCAATATGGATACCCAACCAAATGTCCGTCTATATCCCAGGATATAGAAGAATTCGGATATTCAGCATAGTATTTTATGGATATCTTTAGTAGAGGTTCATAGAAGTAACCAATGTTTATTGAATAACGTCGAAAGAAAATAGCAGAGAAAAAATATTTCCAACACTCTGCCTTTGATTTTGCCCACTAAGGAGAAAGTCATCATTATTAGGACTCTTCAGCAATAAATGGAAATTCTCGACTCCAGTCTCTAATGGAGTCTGATTGGGAAACAAATTTCGATCGAACTCAATTACGGCGGGTTAAGCATGAGTAGATGCGAAAGTGGTATCGCCATCTATACTTAGTAAGCAAAATCAAAAATTACATCTAGTGGACATCCACGATGGTTTGCGTTCGCGCCTAGACTTTGATTATTTAGTGGATGTCCATGGCATATTGAATACACCTTAAAAAAATTAATTTTAAATATCTGAACGGTACTATTAGCCACAATGGCGTAATTTTTTAATAATTTGCTATATAATTACTATTATTTATGGACATTTGCATGTCTATAAATTACATCTCATGGATATAAAATAGATATCCACCATGGACTGGAGATTCAGTGGAATTTGGGATGTTCAGTAGATATCCAAAGGATTTGGTGTGCTGTCTGGGTATTAACACCGTAATTATCTGAAATCATTTAGAAAACACCCCATTACTTTACCTCTCTCTCGTCTTCTGAACTATAGAGAGAAATTTTAAAACGCTGATCCGATCCAAATGAAATTTGGGCATCAGGGACTAGACCATAATAAGAGTGACCTGGAAATTAAGGGCGAGGCTTTTGGTACTACTTATGACACCCCCTTTTAAAATCGTCAAATTTTGTAAGGGCAGCGCTGAATTTTAATTATGATTCCTGTGGCATTATTTTTGGAGGAAAACCTATCTACCAAATTTGAATTTTTGTATGCCGAGTGACGGAATAAAAATTCAAGTGAAATCCATCAAACATCCTGTATGTTGATAAATAGATTCGGTAGAGCCTTTCGAATTATCTCACACCCTGTGTTTAACGAATACACATATTTATATGTCATAAAATTCCTATAAAAGGAAAGCAAAATATATAAACTATTAAATAAAATTTCAAGTAAACAAAATATCTCCGTCTATGGACAAAAATGTTTTATGGTTTTATAATGTAAATTGTATTTATAAGCGCGCCACTACAAAAAATTTAAGATTTCTGCACCCTAAGGTTTTTTAATATTGGTATTTCCTGAAAATTCACAAAAATCAGTGGCAAATTAGAAAAATACATCATAGGACTTCGGAAAGGTGAAAATCTTTTTTTATTATTGGACATCGGAGAGAGATGATGAGGATTTTTTTTCATAGAAAAACTTTTTTAGCCGGCTTTATGTTACAGCGCACCCCTCCCCTCCAGAGATAAACAAAAGTCGCCGCCTATGTCTCTAAATACCTTTCTGTTTAACGGGGTTTAACTTTTATTACTCCAATCCAAACTCCAAAACAAATTCAAGCCACCACGTTTTACAAACGACCATTTTATAAAGATTATTGCACTTTTTCTAGAAGTCTATCGTCGAAATAATAGTACTAGGTGATATGTAACCCAACATACACATTCATGTTATTCTGGTCATATACATAATACATTAAAAATATAGATTCTAGTTAATCAACCGACATCACAATCTTATTCGCCTTCTTCAACGTCTAGAGCTCTTTAATTTTTCTATCTAAAGCAGGAAGAGAAGTTGAAAAGGCTTTTGGTAGGTGGCGAGGTGGTAAACGTCAAACCCTGTCGTACGACAACGATAATTACACGATTTGTTGTCCAGTGTCGTATCATAGAATAAAAATAATACCAAACATTTTAAATTATTACCGGTGGAATTGGTAATTGGTATCTATTTATGGGGTAGAAATAAGAGAAATGATTATTTAAACAAGTAATAATATCCCAAATAATAATTCTACTAAATTTCAACAGCTATTCACAATTTATTTAACTATTTACGCTAAATTGTTATTAGATCTATAAAATAATTTGCTACGCCAATGTTTCGCGTTCACTTCAGTTAGCTCCGCAGCAAAACTGTCAACTCCTGTTTATGAAGTGGGAAAACTACGAAAAGCCTTTCCAACTTCTGTCCATTTGAATATTACAAAAAATGTTTCTAAAAATAATCCGCACAGAATTTTTATTTAAAATTGTTCTAATAATTACAAATATATTAACGTAAATGCAGGTTCTATTATGTTGGGCTGCTGCTGTCTAGGGTCCGCATTCAAATAATTTTATGGACCAGAGTACAAATTTTAGGGCAATGTTTTTTCAACTAAATCGAAATTCCAAAATCGAAACACCTCAATTAAAATAAAGGAGTTTTGAAAATTTTACAACATACAACAAGAAAAAAGGAAATATATTTCATTTACATTGGCGTAGCTAAAAGGGAGCAGAGGTGGGCATACACGGCCACCCCCAGAAGCCCGGTCCCCCCAAGAAGAGCTATCTAATAGATTTAGCAATTGTTCTCTTGTTATTTTCTTTTTATTCATAATAAATGTTAGCCAAATTAAGATTTGTTCACACAAACTACATTTTTATGAAAATTCTCTATAATAAAGCAAACAATTTGTTACAAGAACCAATCTTAAATTGACTTGTATGTTTTTAGGTTTAATTAATATTTAAATAATAAGCATAATCAAAAATAATAAATTTATTAAAAAAATACATACAAATTCAATATTTAAAAAATGTATGAAGTAGTTGGGGTTATCGGGGTGCTATATATTCCAAGATACAACATTGCTCCCCTAACGTAATGAAGAATATTATCTCTAAAACAGAATACACATATTATAAGTATAAAAATAAACGTATAAAGCAAATGAAAGGGGTCCACACCCAGACAGCACACCAAATCCTTTGAATATCTACTGAACATCCCAATATCCACTGAATGTCCAGTCCATGGTGGATATCTATTTTATATCCATGAAATATAATTTATAGACATGCAAATGTCCATAAATAATAGTAATTATATAGCAAATTATTAAAAAATTACGCCATTGTGGCTAATAGTACCGTTCAGATATTTAACATTAATTTTTTTAAGGTGTATTCAATATCCCATGGACATCCACTAAATATATCAAAGTCTAAGCGCGGACGCAAACCATCGTGGATATCCACTAGATGTAATTTTTGATTTTGCTTCCTAAGTATAGATGGCGATACCACTTTCGTATCTACTCATGCTCAACCCGCCGTAATTGAGTTCGATCGAAATTTTTTTCACAACCAGACTCCATTAGAGACTGGAGTCGAGAATTTCCATTTATTGCTGAAGAGTCCTAATAAGGATGACTTTCGATTCTCCTTAGTGCCCTTAGTGGGCAAAATTAAAGGCAGATTGTTGGAAATATTTTTTATCTCTATTTTCTTTCGACGTTATTCAATAATCATTGGTTACTTACTTATATGAACCTCTACTAAAGATACCTATAAAATATTTTGCTGAATATCTGAATTCTATATCCTGGGATATAGACGGACATTTGGTTGGATATCCACAAAATATATTATGTGGATATCTCTGGGATTTCTTGTACTGCCTGGAAGAGACTCGTTAGATATTTTGCTGAATATCCATAGGATATCTTCTATATTCTGGATATAGACGGACATTTGGATATCCATATTAGATCCACGGAATATTTCTGATATTCTGTGGATATATTGGATATCCACAAAAGATATTCTGTGGATATCTCTGGGATTTAGTGTGTTGTCTGGGCAGTATCTGTAACATGTGGAGGGAGGTTGGGTTACCCCCCCCCCCCACGGCACTTAGGCCTCACTAGACGCATTGTGCATCCTCCTAAGATGATAGGCACCTTCTAGCTCGTGAGTCAGCCTACAGATTTAATGTAGTTGACAACGTCGCCAGGAGGTTCACAGTAAAAACCGTCAAGTTCCAGGAAATTAAATTTTTAACAGATGGATGGCATTGAAAACTCAAAATTGAGTACAAACGGACCTTGATGGTGTTTGTAGTGGACACTTAAAATGTATTAATCAGAAACAATAAGTCAATAATAATTGATAAATAAATAAAAAATTAGGACCAATGGAGCATTAAAATAAACAGGGTTCCTTATTTTTTTGATGAATGAAATCGTTTTTAAGGTCCCCTAGTTTGTTTCAATAATATGGTTTTAATGCAACATGTGGCTGTGCTAGAACCGGAAACTGGTACTGGCCTTAATACAGAAAATGTTAAAACTTACCAATATATAGTAGCATATATTTGACGTCCAAATTATTTGAAGTTAAAAGCAGTTTTTTCGCTTAAAAAAAAATCAAAACCAAAAGCGATATCAAAATGAAATTTTTAGTAAAAAAAAAACATTGAGTTACTCATATATTTGAGTTTTCACTTATTCTGTAATGTTTCTGCATTAGGAAAAAATTTGTATGTTCTAATAAAAGTAGACTATCATTAAGAATGATTTTTCAAAAAATTTTAATCTTCAATAGTTTCTTTCGAAATATACAGAGGGTTAAACGATTTTTATATAACATTGGTTTAAACTTTTCAAATACCCAGTATAACCTTATGGTATTTTCTTGAATGACAAAGTCAGGAGAATTCAAATTTAAAATATAATTTTAAAAAACACATGTTTGATCAATTCTGAAGTTATGAATCACTCTGTATATTCGAAAATAATTTTTAAATGTGCATATTAACATTATTATAAATAAAATTTTCTATAATTAATGATATATCGAACTTGCACACACTATTGGGAGACCCTGTATATATCGAGGAGGAAACCACTAAAATCGGAAATCACCTAAAATTTATGTTAAAGATTTCGGTGATTTCGCTAAATCACTGTTCTTAATTTTATACGATGGCCTTTTTTTTTTGACTCTTCCTTGGTATTTTTGGATACGCCACCACATTCTATTATCCCATAATTAAGCTGTGATTCAACTAAACTCTTGTATATTATTATTTTTTGTTAGGTCTTAAAAAACAAACGTCTGGGCTGGAATTATTGGGGATCGCATAGTAGGTCCTTTTTTTTTTAATGGAAACGTAACCGGAGAAACATACCTTACTATGTTTCAAGAAGAACTGATTCCTATTTTAGTGAATTTATTTTATTCCCCAATAATTTGAATCCCAACTTATTTGACCAACGGATGTGGTTTCAACAAGACGGGACCCCATCACATTTTGCTCAAAATGTACGGACCTATCTTAACGAAGTGTTTCCAAATAGGTGAATTGGAAGAAGGGGCCCAATTGAGTGGTTAGCAAGATCACCTGATCTTACTCCATTAGATTTTTTATATGGATTTCTAAAGAGCAAGGTTTATGCCACTAAACCTAACGCCATCGCCGAGCTTCAACAAAGAATCAGTGACGAAATTAGGAAAGTAACGCCGGAAGTGTTACAAAATGTTCGGAATGCTATTTATAATCGATTAGGATATTGTCAGCAACAAGGTGGAGAGCACTTTTGAACATTTATTGCATTAGTTTCAGTAAATATTTTCTTATTTCATTTTTTCCGACACATTACTCATAAAAAGTAACAAAAAAAATGTAATTGTATTTGTAATTCCATTTAAAAAAAAAGTTGGGGTATCTGCAACCCCCCAAATAATTAAAAAGAAAAACAAATCTCTTTGTAATATGCCCCATTGAAAATAAAAATTGACGTGTTTCAGGAATTTTGCGACAAACCTTTATTTATCAAGTTACAGAATTTGTTCCAGTTAGACTTTCCACTCTGTATAGTATATGCAAGTTTTTTTAGATATATTCTATTTGTTAATGATCTAACATAATATAATTCCAAGGCTTGCTGTGGGGTGGTGTATAGTTTCTAATAAATGATTTATTTTGTGGAAGTGAACAAAAGTATTTGCTTCAGTAAGATTCTTCCTCTGATTGGAAAATAAAAATAAATGACCGTCCCCACCCCATTCATTACATTCATCCAATTTATCCATGATCTTTGACACAATCGAGGAATCAAGGGAATTGCAATGATCGCACTATCGCACTTCAGTCTTCAGTGCCAGTGGGGTATCGGAAGCAAGTCAGTGAGGAAGTAATGTGTTCTATTGCGGCAACAGGGACGACCCGTAATGTTTTTCATATCGGTGTGTTCGGTGTTTATTTTAAAGTACTGATATTCGAGTAAACATATCATGTCGAATTTCTACAATGGTACAGCCGTCGTCATTTATTCTAGACAAGCGTCGATTTTGGCGGCATGTTGTGCTATTATTTTTTGTGTAGTTGGTGTTATCGGTAAGAAAACAACATGTTTATCTCTTATGTACAAGTGTTCGGCCTATGTATTTTCTTACACTCGATACGAACTTTTATCATATTTATCTAAGTTCATAAAATTACTTTTTTCTCGGTCGTTGTCTCAGATGTTTAAAATTTTACGTAATTTTATTTCTTATATTTTACTTTGATGTTTACCGAAATATTTTAACAACTTTAACATTACTTTATATTTAAAACGAAATTATTACTCATAATTATTAGTTTTATAATAAAAAAACTCAGTTGCGTTTTTTTTATTTACCAAAATAAGTTTTTTCGTGTTATACAATTAATATAGGTATTTTATAAATAGGTAAAGAGTTCGTCGAGGAATTCTGAGGTGCGAATTTCGCAAAAAATTATTAACTAAACACTTAAAAGTAAATTTTCGTAAAAAAATTTCAGAAAAAACTATTTTTTGAGAAAAATCTAATCAAAAATCCAATTTTATAGGTTAAATGCACAAAAATTCACTTTATGACAAATAATTTCTTGTCTTGAAAATAGCAAAGTTACCACGTTGCGAATTACATTAGGGGAAAGAGATTGAATAGGGGTGCTGGGTGTTGGGCGGGTAAAACCATGATGTAAATAACAAGGCCTCTATTTTTGCGCATCTAGAAAGTCGGAAATAGGTACATTGGGAGCATTCCTCCCTAGTGGTCCCGCGAGTTTTGAATAATATGTGAATACAATGTAATGTATTTTAATTTGATTAATGTAATAGTAAATAAAAATTAAATAATAATTATAAAAATGGTTATTGCAAAAAAGAGTATGTGAAACCTATACAGAGTTGGGATAAAGTATGGAACCAAACGGAAACCAAATAAATACTCATACCAAACCCATTACAAACGAATTCGAAAAACAAGATGTATATTTCAACAACAAAAAAGTCGCAGGATTATGCCCTATGTGTCATTTCATCATCCTGCAAATTTTCAACATTATCACGTTTTGGTTATGATATTTATTTGGTTCTGTACTTTATTCCAACTCTGTATAGTTTTATATAATTTATAAAAACCAGTAATATGTTGAGGATTTTTTATAGATATCTGAATAGGCGAAGGCATGGGCGCCGTTCAAAAATTTTCCAGGGGGAAAGTCTTATAAGCAGGGTAAAAAAGCCACAGGCTATAATCGAAAGATATGGTGAAAAAATAAAAAACCTAATCCAGGAGGGGGGCCGACGCCCCCCTTGCACTCGTGTGGCGGTGCCCATTAAACTGAAGAAGAATGCCAACAAAAAACAAAACAAATGTGCAAATAAAACAATATTATATCGATATAATAATAGTACGTTTATGTGTTTATTTGCAATAAAAAAAAATGGGCAAACATTGAAATGATGCCAAAATAATTGTGAGTTTCTAAAGAATGTATTCTGAAAATTTCCCGTTTTTAAAAATTCTTAGTTTAATTGGGGTGGCTAAAACTGTAATAATAGTTCAATTATATTAGTTTTTTGTATTAAAAAAACATTAAAATGATGCCAAAATAAGTGGGAATCACTGAGGAATGTATTTTGAGGAGTAGGTGCGTATTTTTTATAAAAATTCAAAATTCAATGGGTATGACAATTTCACTAAAGGTGTTGGACAGTCCTTAGAATGTATTTTTAAGTGATTTGCAATTAGTTTTTCATCAATTCAACATTTTCCTATTTTTTAATATCCAATAAACACTTGTCGATAACTCATGAACGGATACAAATAAAAATACCAATTTTGAAACTTAAGCCTTATTTCGGACTGCGGTGAAATGATTAGATTTTGGGAAGCGTCGGAACATCTGGGGGTTACTTTATAAGGGGTAATTTTAATATTTTATGAAATATATCTGTTATTTACGTTTGGAGAAGAAAATTCTTCAAATAAAAGTTATTTTTAATATTGTTCTATACAAAATTTTCCCAAAAAGGTCCGTATTCGAGAAATTTGACAAAATGTAAAAAATGTTATGAAAATTGTTCAAATAAAAGTTATTTGGGATATAATTCTCTATAATTCTTGTCCAATGCATAATTTCTCTAAAATGGACCGTATTCGAGATATTTGAGAAAAAGTGTAAATTTTGAAACTCATAAACGGATAAAGAAAAAAACCATTTTTTAAAATGTAAAAAATTCTGATTTTTAAGAAAATTTCTCTAAAATGGACGTAATGGAAAAATTGGAGAAAAGTATAAAATTCTACTATTATTGCAGTTTTAAAACATCGATTTTTTTTAAAGGAAAACCCCTCGTAATAAATTCTTTTGTGACTCAATTATTTTGACATTATTTCAATGTTTACCCATTTTTTTATTGTAAATAAACACATATACATGATTATTATTATAATGATTACCTATAATCAGTTACAATCACTACGAGTCATATAAATCTCCAAAAATTACGCAGTTTTAGATAATGGTATCAAACCCTTCACGCCTGTCGTTAATTATTAGGCAACGTTGCCAAATAACAAATAAGTAAGGCAGCGCTTTAAACTTTAACAATGTTTTTCTCAAAATCGGGAATGAATTAAAAAAATATAAATGAAACTTATGTTTATATGTAAATATTATCAATTAAAAAAATGAGGAAAACTCCGCATTGCTGCCGATGTAGTCCAGCTCGTCTATATCGGTTCATCACAGCGAGGTAGAGAAAGGTACTGAATTGTACTACTGTATTTTTCGTACAGAGTTAGATCATAATATTTTTAATATTATATGCGTGTTTTTTTTTAAGTTTTTTTGAGAATTATAGTATTTTTTGAAGCATCTTCAAACGGGAGCCGAATTTTTTCTTCCATTTGTGGTGTTCCTTTATTGTTTAAAACAAATATACTCGTAAAACCAATTATTTTGATTATTGTTAGTTATTATTAACTATTTACATTTTTACTAAAAGTAATTGTGATACGATTAGATTGGAATTGATCAATCATGATTAAAATCACGATTATAAAATAGTATCTATTATTTATTATTTCAATAAATGAAACTATTCAATAACAAAAGATAATAATAATAATAATAAGACTTAGTGTCCAAGGGAATATTAAATATAACTTTATCCATAAGAAATGTACGATATTAAAAATAGATGCAAATAGAATAAAGTATGTATTCAGTACTTGTTTCACATAATAAAGAAATAAAAAATGGATTATTATATTTTGGGAAAAAGTTTTACCACCAATTTAAAAGATATGGGTTTGTAAACTTTTTATTTTCCTTCAATCCTAAAAAATAGCAAATAAAAACTTATAATTTTTTTAATTTGAAAAGAAACTTTGCACACTTATCCTGAATGTGTTAGTATGTTAGTATACCGAATAATTAATATTTATTAATATTAATATTTAAAATTATATTTGATTTTTATAACCTGTTATTTTACAATAACTATATGTTATATTACAGAACAATGTAAAAATAATGTCTTTTAGCTTTTGATAATACTGCAAAGATTAGTAATTTATAGTTTCTAAAACATAGGAGATTTGCTTGATTTATGATCTGTTATTATAATAAATATTAAAATCATTATTTTTATTAGATACTATTGTATTTTTTTTTAAATCAAGTAGATTTTTTTTTCAAAATTTAGATAAATATAAATTATTATAAACTTATATTATTAATTTCGAGTACCTAAAAATGAATTAACTTCAATTGCAATTAATTTCAATCATGATTCATCTTAATTGTAGTGGTAAATAAGTGTCCATTTGTTGCGTACTGCTTAGATCACAGTTTATTTTTGTATTTCATGTCTACAAATTCCTGTGGATTAAAATTTGTCTTTGCCTTTAAAAGTATGGGGTAGGGACGCAGGTAAAAAAAAATGTAAGCGTTCAGTGAAGTTGAGAGAATTGTTCTTCTTCTAAAGAAAGGTGTTCAAATCCCAGCTGAGCCAGTCTTTGTTTTTGTTTTATTATTAGAAAAATTCATAATTTCAAATTTTTGTGTGGGTAAATTAGAAAAAGTACCTATATAGGGTTCGATTACAATTAGAAGAACACAGCTACGTCATCATTTGTCAACGTAATTAATTGGTTATCGCCGCCTACTGGGGGTTTAGTGAATGTCAATATTATAGGAATATAGGAAATATTGTCTTATACCTAACAACTTACTTATTTTTAATTTATTGATAGTTATAGATAATATGCGTATTCGAAATTCGAAGTAATGGTTATGACATACTGTGGTCTTCTAATTGTAATCGGACCCTACCTACCAATAATAATAATAATTATTATTGATAAAGATAAAATTTGCTGCCTAAATTATTTTTTATTCTATCCTCAAATCATCTAATGATTTAATCAAGGTCAAACTCCGCCTCATGAAAACGTCACTATTGAATTATGCTTTCTCATTGGCTTGCTCAGTATTCTAATTTGTTGATTGGTCAAGCCAAGTCGAGTCAACGTGGACTATTATAATACAGGGTGGGTTATTAGTGCGTGGGTGAAAGATTGCGGTTTATTAAGGTACATTTTTAAAATTCATTTTTGGGGCATGGTATAGGTCCTCTAAGGCTACAACCTAAAAATATTTTCGATGAAATTCCAATTGTTCTACAGGGTGATTTATATCAAAGTTATGTTTTTTTAATAGGAACCCCTGTATATTATTGCATATTTGGATTCCTCGGTTAATTTTAGTGTGACTTTATGTATCATACATAGTATCTAAAATGAGTTGTTAAGCAGCAATTCATTATTTTTTCAAAAAGTAGAAGTCTAGTAAAAATTGAATATCGCAGTTATTATAAAACTTAGAAGGCCGTGACTCTACAGTGTTACTAAGCATGAAATGTACTAACATTTGCTAGACGATCAAAGTCAAACTCTTTTCGCTACGCCAATTTGCAAAATTTCAACCAAAGGTAACTTGATTATTTTAAATGGGACTATCAAAGTTTTTTCATTTCATTACATGCAGAATTCGATTACCTTTCTAATGATATAGAAATATGTTGATATTTATCTTTTACAGATTTATTTTTATTTAAAAAAATCTAATAATTCACAGTATTTTTCAATTTAGAGGTCCTACACCATTCCCCAAAAATGAATTTTAAAAATGTACCTTAATAAACCCGCAATCTTCCACCCACGCACTAATGGCCCACCCTGTATTTTTATTAAACTACATGGAGCGTTGGAGATGGAAAATGCACTGAAATGCAATAAACAGAGTTGTACCTACTCAGAATGGATTTGCTATTAAATTTTCTGGATTAAGTATGGAAGTTTTATAAAGTCCAGAAATTAATTATGCTGTTAAACATGAGAAGAGAATTGAAGCTATATATATGCACTCTGCATTCTGCACTCCATCCTTTTGACTTCTTCTAACAGTTCACCCTGTATAGCTGCAAACTTGGGACCTGAAATATAACACTTAAATTTGAACAAATTCTGAAAGTACCCAAAATCAATATAAGAGCGGGGTTTAAAACAATATTTTTTCGACGATGGACATATTTAATTTCTGCTATTTCCTAGGTACATCCTGTAAGTTTAGAAAACATTTCCCGAACAAATAAAAATTAGGAAACGAAATGTAATCATGAAATCCTCTATTCACCTTGAAATCCATCAATTTCTGTTTTTTTTTGTGTTTAAAGCTAATAAATGTTCTGGTTCCGTTATTCAAAATAATCGCACTTAAAATACCTAAGTATTATTAGATTTATCGCTGAACATTCATTCAAAATGCATCCTGTTACATTTTAATACAGATAGGTAACTAATGTATGCGCAAAATTTTATAGCATAGATATACCTGCCTATCAAATGAATGTAATCTACCTGTAATTATAATGAACAATGATACTGTTTTATTTTATTTGATTATATCATTAAAAATTTCCAATTAAATATTTGTCATACTGGAGGATACAAAATTCAAAATTCTTGTTATGCAAATAGGTTTGACCGTATTATGTGAAAACGCATTTGAAAAGTATTGTAATACCAAAAATAGTAAGACCACCCATGTTCAAATATCTAATCAGAACATCATAATAAACACTGAGGAGAGCCAAAAGGATATGTAAAAAGGTTGTGTTATGAATATACTATTATATTCAATAATTGTATTAGATAAAAAAATAAAACTATAAAGACAAAACTGGAAGTTGAAAATCAAGAATACAAATAGGTGTGGGTAGATTGCTTCCAGTGGCGTAGCGTGGGCCAAAGGGCGGAGGCGGCGAAGTTTTTTTGGGGTGCCCAAACCTCTGTGGAGGGCACCAAAGGTGCTCTAAACGCAAATGGCGGGGAGCGTTGCCCCCCCAGCCCCCTATACGCTATGCTACTACTTTAAGGATCTATTAATCCATCAGGAGTTGGAGAAAGATAAGATGATAAAGAAAGAGGAAACCGAGGCAAGGGACATAATAGCTGATGGAATTAATATCGAACTCATTAATTCTATTTAAGTATTCTCCCCCCATAATATATTCAAAATATACTGGGTTTATTTTATATGTAAATGTCATTATGTTACACTTTTTTAGATTAAAATATAATTTATTTTTATCACTCCATTCATATATTCTGTCCATATCCCTTTGGAGTCCTATACAATCTCTAACAGTAGTTATTTCCTTGAAAATTTTGAGATCTTTTATTAACAAATCCGTGTTGTAAAAGACTTATGCTATTCTCTACATGCCTATAAATCCTTTGATATAAAATATGTTCTAATAATTTTTCTGGAGCACATAAAATTGAGACACATCCCCTGATTTGAAAATTGGCACACAGGTTTCAGTTTTCCACTTCTTTGGGAAAATTTCATACTCTAATGATAAGTTAAAAATATGTATTAATGGAGTTTCTAACCAGTCAGCGCATGTTTTCAATATATGCGGGAGGAAGCTCATCAGTTCCAGTTGATTTTTTTGGTTTTAACTTTTTTACCGCTAGTTTATATTCTTCTGTCACTTTACTAAAACTAAGAATATCGTTATTACTGATACCCACATTTAATATATATTTTTTAATAAAAGTAGTTTGGGTGGATAAATATAATACATTTTCATTTTATGTTTTTATATACTCTGGTTCCCCCTTGTGCTGGGGGGCTTTAGCCCTACAACCTCTTACTGGAATACAGAGAACAGTGAGTTTAGTAAATTCAGCATTATTTCATTTAGGGTCATATATAGGAGTCGACATAATTCACATAAATTCATATAAATTGATTAAGAAATATTTTTTTTTACTCTTCGTCTGTCTATTCATTTAACAATTTAGTTAGTAATTATTCAAATAACATATCGTTTATTTAAATTACTGTTAAAAATTATGTGGTAACTTCTCTTGATTTTAACAATTATTATACGTATGATGCTGATAGGATAGACAATATTGCATTCATTGCTACATTACACTAGTAGAGCATAATTTTCATTATTGAATCAATTATATTAATTGTTTCTTGGAATTTATGAGTAATTTTATTGTTCAATAATTGTTTTACCTTAGTCATTTTAAATTGGTTCGACTCATATTTAGATATTTTCTAAATCAATAAACTGTTTGATATAATTTTATTAAAAGTACCATCAACCAGCACTTATTCTAACTCTAAAGTGAGCTGGTTGTTTAAAAGCGTTTTTTCTACAAGCTACTTAATTTTATAGTAGTGTTATTCCTTGTTTTAGATGGGACAAGTTTCGCACTTGTTACACAATAATACAGGGTGTTATTAAATTACATGTATATACTAAGAGTGTATAATGTCCAAAAACGAATGACACCAATTTTAACAGTATATTCTAAAATTTAAAAATGGGTTAATTCACCCTATTTCCGACCATTATTCTACGCTTGAAACCAAACTCACATAGCATTGTATCCTATACATAAGCACTGTTGCCGATTCGTTACCAAATATCTGAGAAATATGTTTTAATTAAACATTTTCACCCAGGATTTTGAAACTTGTAATAAGAGAGTAACACAAAAACGGCGCACTTATGCGTATTTAATACATTTTTAACGAAAATAAAACATAATGCGTCTTCAAGACTACACCACATGGGGTCCATCGAATTTCCGCGACCATATTGTCTATTTTCTCCGTTAATTGTTTAATTTTATGAAACACTTTTTTTTCCTGAGCTCATCTTAGCCTTTGATAATCTGAAGCCTAATGTTTTATTGTATTTGACCTATATTAAAGTACCTACTCTGTCACTTTAGTCCCTTGCACAAGTACATAACAGGGTGTGTTCTATGGGTTCTTAGATCAACCTGTGGTTGTCCAAAAAGTGCCTGTCTTTTGCCATCCAATGCCTCGCAGTTGCTAGTTTCTTGTAACAGAGTCGACACAATAGGTCTTCATTATATACACCTATTTTGTTGGATCCTGTTTTCAACTGGATCCTATTCATGGAAAATAATTCTCCTGTTCTTTTTGAACATACTCTTCCTATAAAGGTTTTCCCATATTCTTATATTGGAACATTTTCCCAATATTTATCGTGTTTTTTCCGAACCCAGTACTAAATTTTTATTTTTTGTTACAGGTAACTTAGTGACTGTAATAGCATTAATAAGATGTCCAAAATTAAGAGTTCACGCAACAACAGCGTTCGTACTGTCCCTGTGCATATCAGATTTGATCTTCTGCCTGATTAATTTACCATTAACCGCTGCTCGGTACATTTACCAAGCATGGATTTTTGGAGACGCTCTATGTAAATTATTTCCCGTGTTATTTTATGGTAACGTAGCTGTATCCGTGCTGAATATGGTGGCTATTACGCTGAACAGGTAAGCAAGTTAAACAATAAATAATTCCAGAGATAAAATATTGTTATCTACTTCTAGAAAGTTATGTAACCTAAAAACATTAAATCAAATTATAACAAATTTACAACAGTATAGAATGTTAATTGGTTTACACTTGATAACAAAAGAAGACGCAAAATTTGTATAAATATCGTTTATAAAATTGTGTATTCACGTGTTATATAGAGAGATCCACAAAAAATGTTTCTGAAGTAGGCATTGGAAAAATCAAGTGTACAATTCTTTTCTTTCGGTGTCAATTTGAATTTAATATAGAGTGGACATGACCCGCATCTCTGTTTTTGTCGGTTATGACCTACTGCCTACTTTAGAAACATTATTTGAGGATCACTCTTTATATACCATTCAAAAAATCAAACCTAAATCTAAAACTAAAGGTCCTGATCAAATATCATCTATTTTTGTGAGTGTAAGTTTGTATTTGTTCCAGCACTAAAAAATGAATGAGTGAATGCTGGCCCAACGCTATGTCCAAAAGGTTTTGGCCATTCAATGGTAAAAAATTGGCAAGATGTCAGATTTACCTATTGATAGAATAAAGCTCTGCCATTCTAGATTTGCGGTACCAATTACGCTGGTTCTTTTTTATTACGCGATAGATCAATCCATTATTTCAAACTCACAAAAGCATAAATTTGCCTCTTTATATGCTTTAGTATAAAGGCTTTGCACTTAGAGTTGGTAAGCGATCTGACCACAAATGCATTTATAGATACCATGAGACGATTCATAGAAAGGCGTGGAATTTATCACGAAATATTTTTTGATCATGGAACAAACTTCCAAGATGCTCAAAATGAGCTTGTATAATTTTTACAAATTAATTCCAACGAAATTCAGACTGCTCTAAACCAGAGAAATCATTTATACCACCAAACTCGGGTCACTTCGGATGCCTCTGGGAAGCTAGCTGGGTCAAGTATCATTTGCGACAAACCGTTGGATATGATAAATTTAACTTTGAGGGATTTAACACCTTGTTAGTACGGCTAGAGTCATCTTTAAATTCCCATCCTTTATCCCCCTATCCTGCACGCTTCTTGATTTACGACACATTTACTCTAGCACCGGATGTCAACCTAATCGATATTCCCGAAAACGGACTAGATAAATATCAACTAATCCAACAACATCTGCAACATTTCTGGAAGAAGTGATCATTGGAGTATAGCTCTCAACTTCAAACTCGCAAAAAATGGAGAAATTCGGATACCCAGCCGTTAAAACCAGGAATCCTGTTTCTTATCAAAGAAGATGGACTCTCGCTACACAAATGATTCCTTGATAAAATCCTAGCCAGATTCCCAATAGCGTGCTTCATGGCTCTGCTTCCAAGCTGCTACCAGCCTCAATTTCGACAAAACCATGAGCTTTTTTGTAGTAAATAAGTTAAGCAGTGCAAATTTCATGCTTACATCCCTTTCCTTCCATTCTGGTAGAAATTTTTAATGTGCAATTATTGAAAAAATCTAGTTCTACGCCTATGGATTAATATTAGTCATAAAACTGTCACCATACCAAATTTAAGCAGAATCAATCGCACAAGCCGTTTAAAATTTATAATTAATAAGAAACGATTTAAAAAAGGGCGCCTAACGCCCAAACTGAGCGAATTTTCTTCACCGAGTTAAATTTACTTAAGTCTGCTTATTTTGATCCAAGGAACATGTATATTTTTATAAAGACCTTTTACAGATACCCTGTATATGCTTTACTTACACTCACAAGACGCGAGATGTATGTGTGTTTCTGTTTTGAAGTCTGTTCATCAATAGTAATAGCTTCCAGTAATATAAAGCATCTGTTATTTTATCTCTAATCTCAGTTTCAATAAAGGTTTTAATGTATTTCTTGTTAGTGGTTTGTAAAGAGGCGGATGAAGGACTAATTAAAATTTTTATATAAATAATTTCTGTTTTTGTTGAATATTTAGCAATAGCCCTCAGTTATTCAGATTTGGATAAAAACCTTTCCAAATGCCCATCTCGTCTGTTTCCCTAATTCGATTTCAGATACAGTTGAATTTAGGTAATTATTTTTATTTATTTTCGTCCTGTCAACGATTATCCAAAAATTCTGTAATTTATCTAAGTACCAGTTGATACCTTATAATCTTGCTTGAAAGGTAATTTTGTGAATTAATAATAATATCGGAAAAAACACTACATGTCAAATATTATCAGACAATCTGTATCTTTGTCGGTTATGAGCAGGTGGGGTTAGATTTAACCCAGAACGTTGAGTCCTCTTGGTTCTATTGTATTCCCCTGCTTCCTCCGTAAATAGGTGAATAGGCCTGTGTCTTTTGTTAGTTATAGTGGGTTCCCTACCAAGTGTTCCCTAGATCGAAAAGAGTGTCGTCGTGAATTAGAATTCGGGTTTTCTAAGTGAAGAAACTTTTAACACTCAAATTGATAGAACTACAAAAAATGCTTAAAATCCCATACACTACAGTTATAACTAGTTATAATCAAGAACTGAAATGTACAAAGTTTCGACAAGTTGGTCAATTGGTCAAATTCCTTTGGACTTTTTTCTTAATGATTTTTAAGTTTTGTTCAATATTTCAAATCTAATACAAATTGAAGATTATTTATAAATTTATGTTACAAAAGAAATATAAAGAAAATTGGAATTACTGAACACTAAATTTTCAAAACATTCAAAATTTACAAAAAAAAAATCTCCTAAAAAATTGTACCCCTGAAACCGTCACTGGTTTCTGCAATAAAATGACCTAGAGCATATTATATAATAATTTTTATAAACTTCAATAATAATGTTTTGTAGATATTAGACACCGAAATTCTTGTCCGCAATATTGACACACTCGGTATATAAAATTCATTAAATTGTGTAACGTTCATTGGTAATAATAGCAATTATACATAGTTGGGAAATCCAAACAAACATTCGATCATACTACTTCCTCTAAATCAGAGGACAATGCTGTCCTTTGATGGTTTAGGGCTTCTAACTTCTAATTTGTTTATGACATATGGGTGGAGATGTGTTTCTACAGGGAAGCTCTTACTACCTACCGCATAAAATAAATAAACTTCACGTTCCAAATAGAACAACCAAATTTTCGTCAAATAAATTTCTGGTCAAATACCTACCTAGTCTTAAGAAAATATGTGTGTACATAAAGTATTTCTCACATTAAAAACAAAAGTGACACTTTACAAAAAATTTTAAAAGAGCACTTTTAACTTTTGTCCTACAAAGTTTACTATTAAAATACTACTCACAGCGATTCTTTTGATATTGATGGAATTATTTATTATTGTTTTAATTTATTTGTTAAACAAAAAGGTTAAAAATAAAATATTAATTTAAAATACAGATTTTTCATATAGTGTCACTTTTGTTTTAAAGGTGCGATTTATAAACAATAAAAACTTGCTAATAATCGTATCACATTACAACTTTCTTTATTAGATCACCATCAGAACACTGATTTTTTATCGTAAACTTCTCGAAAATATTAAAAATCGAGATCATTGAATTGTGCATTTATTGTTAAGAACTTTTTAAAAATGTGTCGTTTATGTGCCCTTCCATGCCCCATCTTATATGTGCATATTGCCCGCACCCTGAAAGTGTATTTTCGACCAGGGCTATCGAATATGACGTCTGCGGGCCCAAAAAATATAAAAATATGTCTAAAAAATAAAAATGTACACAAGCGAGTGATTTCTGTACCAATGATAAAATAAAATAACACATACATACGCTGTGTGGCGCCACTGGTGATGGATAGAAGGCAGCAACGCAGTTATTGTAACTTGGAGACCTCGATTCCTGCTGGACCGCTCTCGAACATTCGAGTGACCATTCGCGCGTATTAAATTACTAATTAAGGTAGCTTTCAAATGAAGTGCCACACTTCACAATACGTAATACTTTTTTATTTAGAGGGCGTTAAAATTAATACAACGCAATTAATAGTAATATTGCTGAATATTCCTTCACAATGATGTCATACTTAGTACTTTCCCTATTTAAATTGTATTGGTTACTTTGACGAATGGGAGGAGAATGACAGATGAGGATGTAATAGAAAGGTTATCCCCTTGGAATACAAATCGACCTGATTCAAGCAATTTTTTAATTTTTTCTTTTGTGCAGGAGATATTGCCCTTTGTAAGGTTTTAAACTGACACCCCGTGAAAGTAAAGTTTAATAACACCAATACAACATTTCTAAATAAATGTATAAACAAAGTTTTTGTTCCAGATATGTTTTAATATCCTGTCAGCAGTATTACAACTTCCTTTATTCCAAAATATCCATTTGGATACAACTAGTCTTCATTTGGGGGATTGCATTTCTACTTATGGTAAGATTTTTTTTATTATGGGCCACTTTTCATAAACTCTGGAGAAGTGGCCAACAATTTTTATTCTACAGTATGGTGGTGGCTGTGCTTGAAAGGTATTGAAAACATTGATCGCACCGTTGGCACTGTTGAATTAAAGGGAAGGAGTAGGGACTCCAGAAGGTGCGTTTCGTGAGATATTTTTTATACATGGCGTCATAGATGATTTATTAAATGAAAATTTGTGATTTTGCATTTTTTGCCATGCTTTCCACTATAACCTGCGGCGTTTTGACTCTACCTATAAAACTTTCCCATCTAGAATTTTTTTAAATGACACCCATGGTCATACGATACCTCTTTTGGAAGGTATTTTATTTTAACTGTCTAACCAATATTTTACTATACAAAAGGGGCAAAACTTATACTGTAATACTGTAGCTATGCATAACCTTCTTAACCATTTACATGTTTATTTATATTTTTTTCAGATGCCTCCTCTGTTAGGAATATGGGGAACCTTGGGTCTGAACCCATCGACATTTTCCTGTACAATTTTGAGGAAAAACGATAAATCTCCGAAAAAAATGATATTTCTCATAGGATTTATTTTGCCATGTGTCGTCATCATATTGGCTTATTCTTGTATATATTACAGCGTTCGAAAGTCCAGGAAAAAATTAAAATCGCATAGGTAAGGTTTAATAATCAGTAATCGTTTATGAAATCTTTCAAATATACAGGGTTCGGTAAATCTTTACCGAAAGAGCAAAAGAGTCTTAAAAATAATAGATTTCGAGACGAACAATGGTGGCAGTTTTCAGCACCGTAAACATTTTGAAAGTGAAAGTCGGTTCTCCAAGACAAGGTTTACATATCCTGTAACAATTTGAACCTGTTAGGCTATTTTCATTTTATTATTTGTTGTTTCCAAATCCAGCTTCTTTTTTCCGAATTGAAAAGTTTATGAAATATTTTATGTATATTGTTTACATTGGCTCGATAGTCCAATGCGTCAAGGCCAAATAAATCCATAGCAAACGTGATTTTTTTCTTTTTTGCATGGTTCGTTGCAGGGCTGGTGTATCTAAGGGAGTCGCGACATAGCCTTCCATCTTGGACGCTACTTTTTTCCGAAATAGTAGTCGCCAGGCCTGCCAATTTAAGAAAAAGTATGAGCGGTTTTTTTAAATATATATAAAATGCGTAAATAAATTTAATCCATTATTTATAATCTTACATGTAGATAGAATACGTCGTGAAAAATAGATCACTTGTAATTTAGTTTATTTCAAAATGTAATATGAAGACACAATTTTCTTAGATGACGATGTAGAACAAATTTTGGCTCCCTCTTTAGGGCTCCAACCCTCTAAGTTTATTTATTTTAAAGTTATTATAGCATTATATTTTATTACTGTATATAGGCAGGTCTTTTTAAATTTTTGGTAGGAATTACTTCTTTTTCTATTTATTATTTTTATATTAATGTAAAGTGACCATACGTCCCTCATAGAGGGGGACAGACCCCCATTTATGACATGTATCCTCCATTGACAAAGTAACTAACATCTGAATAAAAATGGGGGGTTAAGTTAAAATATTAAAAATCCTAACTCAAAAACGAAAAAGATATCAACTTGAAATTTTAATCAGAAATCAAGCTCTATAAGAGAAAAAAGCGTTTTGATTAAAAAAAAATAATTAGAAATGGGGAGAATAAAGGGGGTTGAAATTAAAAAAAAAATCAAAAATGAAAAGCAATATCAATATGAAAATATTGGTTCTGAAAAAAAATCTGAATAAAAATTAAGGGAATAAGGGGGGGGTTGAAATATTGAAAAAAAATGCTTACTCAAACAAAAAATGATATAAAATTGAAATCTTCAGGAAATTCAAGCTACCTATATAAGGGGATGAAGCCTAAAAATGAGGGGTTAAGGGGGTTGAAAAATCCTATCTCAAAAACGAAAAGTAATATAAACTTGAAATTTTTTAGCAAAAATCAAGCTTTATAATAGGGCAAACACTATTGATTTTAAAAAAATTGTTAACAAAATGGGGGTTAAGGGGGTTTGAAATAAAGAAAAAGAAAGAAAATAGACATCAAAAGTGATATCAACATGAAATTTTCAGCAAAAATCAAGCTCTATAAGAGTATGAAGCCTATTGAATATGAAAAAATCTGAAAAAAAAATGGGGTGAAAAGAGGGGTTTAAATATTGAAAAAATCTCTATCTCAAAAACGAAAAATAATATAAACTTAAAATTGTTTAGCAAAAATCAAGCTCTATAATGGGGAAAAATAGGGGTTAAGGGGATTGAAATAAAACGAAGAAAGAAAAAGAAAGAAACCAGACACCAGAAGCGATATCAACATGATTTTTTTAGCAACAATCAAGGTCTATAAGAGAATGAAGCCTATTGAATCTGAAAAAAAAAATGGGGTGAAAAGAGGGATTAAAATATTGAAAAAATCCTAACTCCGAAACAAAAAACGATATCAAATAAAATCTTCAGGAAACATCAAACTTTATAAGTGGATGAAACCTATTGATTCTGAAAAAAATCTGATTGAAAATGGAGGTTAAGGGGTGTCTGTTAAACTGTGAGGAGTATAATATAGAATGCCAAGCATTATCTCTCTTTATTCTAGTTTTTTTTTTAATATGAGCAAATATTTAAATATTTCGCGAATGGCTGAAACGCGCCGCAAAGCTGCATTAATTAGTTCAAAGTATCAAAATTGTGATTTTTGAGTATTTGTGGTAAAACTATTAAGATTTTTTTAGTAAGCAATAAAAAAATCATAGACGTCAATAAAAGTTGGACTACAGAAAAATCACAACTAGTGTGAAAACCCTGTATCTATCTGTAACGTGTGGAGGGTGGGTTACCCTACGGCACTTAGGCCTCATTAGGCCCATTGTGCATCCTCCTGAGATAATAGGCATCTCCTAGCTTGTGAGCCAGCCTACACATTTGATGTAGTTGACAACGTCGCCAAGAGGTGCTTCTCTTATATCGGCTGATACTCGCCGAACACAAATCTTCTAATAAATGAGAGTGTCGAGCAATCGTAAAGGATATGCTCGATGGTCTCATCTTCTTGTTCGCGCCCTTTGCAGAGTGCGGATTTTGACAGCCCCATGATATGGATATGCTTTCGTACTTGGCAGTGACCAGTCAGAATGCCTGTGACTAGGCGCAGATTCTGTCTAGTCATAGTCAAGTATTTGTTTGCTGCAGTGTTGTCAGGATAACTTAAGAGCTCCCTGGCAAACTCTGCAGTTTCTTGTTGCATCCCATCTTTCCTTGAATTTCACAAGGGAATGTTCTTTGATTAGGTCTGTCACTACCGATTTTGTCCAGGGCCAGGTCCAAAAAGTATTTGGTTGGTTGCTTTCTTGGCTAGTGAATCAGCTAGACGGTTACTTTTCGATGTAGCGTGACCTTGAATCCATGTTAAGGTGACCACATTGTTGATGGATACTTTGGTCAAAGCTTCGTGACATTCTAATACTAACCTTCAATTAAATCCGTGGTCTGTTCAGGATGAGTAGTGCTTGTCTGCTATCTGTATAGATGAGCATGTTCCTTCCAGTGATATTCTTTTGCTGCTATGAGAATCCCCGTTAGCTCTGTTTGAACTTCTCTGGCACTATTGCTCACAGCCTATTTTATGTTTAAGATCTGGAGTATATTACACATCCTGAGCCTTGTTTTGTTTTAAAACCATCGGTGTAGATATGCCACTTCCGGCTCATCTATTTGTTCTATTATATGTGAAAACCCTAAGAGCTATTTTGCTGGTGAAATTCAATATTCTAACGATAGTTTAATTTATATATAGTTTATTTATTTAAAGGGCACTATTTACAATTTATTTATGACGCACTAATTAATTTAGATAATACTTAGGCACTATTATTCACAATTCTAATTTATTTATTACAATTTATCTTTTCTGTCCAACAGTTAAATTCAATTTCTCTTCCGTCGACAAACTCGCGCTATTTATATAAAGCCAACTCTGTACTAAATTACTCTCGGCTTTCCACAACGTTCGAGGACTGCCGCTCTATGACTTATATGCCGCAAAGGGATCAATCTGGTAGTTTCGATATTGCTAGACTTCATACCGCGAGCAAGGAGTAAACAAAGCACAGGGTAGGCTCTCGCGTGACAATATTGATAAAATTTACCAAGAGTTCTATGTATGTATCTTGTCATACATCAACGATACAGATTTTTTAAGAAAAGTTGATGAATCTGAGACGTATAACATTAATTTCGCTCGTTTTTTAAATGTTTGAGTAAGTGTATTTTTAATTTTTCCATTTCCTCTTTTCGTCCCCCATTGACTTGAAAAAACAGGTCACTATATTAATGGTATATTATTCAAATCTACCATTTTAGTGAGGGTAGTTACCAACATAATGCCTGGTTGCGCAGTGTTTAGCAAGAACTATTCTTGAAAAATGAAGGGGCTCCACGCCAAATAATAATAGTCGTTCCTTCCCGATACAAGTTACAGGGGTTCACTCGTAAGGGATGAATTGTAGGGAAATGAGTATTATCATTAATTATTATATTTATTTTCAGAGAGATGGCAGAAAAGAAAACCTGTAGTAGACGAGAACGTGACGACAGCCGACTCACTAAACTGATGGCCCTAATATTCCTGTGTTTTTTAATATGTTTCTTGCCATTAATGTTATGCAACGTTCTTGATGATATAGATATTAAGTACCCGACACTCCACGTCTTAGCTTCGATAGCAGCTTGGGCTTCTAGCGTAATCAACCCTTTCATATATGCAGCCAGCAACAGGCAGTACCGATCTGCTTACTCTAAGTTATTCAGAATGGTTAAAAGTAGCGTAGCCTTTTCTGATTCCAAACATAATTCGAACAATTTTAGGCCCGATAAGAATTCAGTTACATATAAACCTAGTGGTAGTGTTACACATTCCTAAACAAATACCAAAGATTAGCGATTCAAGTTATTTTTTTTACATTGAAATACTTATCAAAAATGATATGAATGTCTGTTAATAATTCAGGTACCTAATTAAGTTGGAATAGTTAAGCAAATACAAATTTGATAAATAATTCTCAACATTTTATATACGAAGTTCTTACGTGAAGCAAATATTATGTGTTTACTTTTCAGTGGCGTACAAGTGTACGAATCAAATTTTTGATAATGACGCATGTTCGATTTTTAATTACCTAGTTAAACCAGTACTGCGCCTACATGAGGTGAGAAATTTAACTCCTGTTGTTCTGTGTAATCATTTTATTATGCAGGTTTTTTACATTTTTGAAATAAGTGATTGCATATAAACAAAAAATGGGCAGAAATAAATATTAAGCAACAGTAAATTGAGAATTATTTCATAGCCATATCAAAATCAAGAATATTAATTATCATACTACTATCCTAATTTGTCATTTACTAAAAATTTTATAGAATAATAATATTTGATGCATCTGGAATTAAAATGGATCAAATTTTGAGTTAATTAAAGTTGCAATTATTTTTTATTTAAATTCTATTAGTTTCAATATCGTTTGAATTATATGTTGCACTGCAAAATACATTTCAATAATGTACCGACATGTTTTATTTACTGGTTTTACGATAAATTTCACTGAACTGAATGAATAAACAAGTAGTATTTCCAGAACCAATATTTTTATTTTCTATACATATAATTAACGTATGTTAATAGGAGGAGTTCACTGCAAATTTCATTTAATAACGAAACGAAATATGCCCCAAAGGCATTGTACATTGTAATTTATTAAATGTCACCTGTGCCAATCACTATCCTAAGCAAATGTGTTAAAATAATTCATTATGAATCTAGCTTTTAAACCTGAATTATTATTATTTTTACCTAACATTTAAAACATTTGTGTCTATGAAACGATTAATATTAGATTAGAAAAATTTTATTTACATAAAAAGTAGTATATAGGTTAATATCAAAAATAAATATAATTCGACCAGTGCCGGTTTAACCTAACTTCGGGCCCTGGGCGCTGGATAGTTCATTGCTATTCGTTGTCATTTTTTTTAACGAGTAAACACATGCTTTAATTTATAAATTTTTATTGTAAAAACCATACATACATTTTTAAAAACAAGAATCCCAAAAAATAACATTTCAAACTATAGGTACACAAAAAAAACAGAAATAACACAAAACAAATAAATAAACAATAAACACATTCCAAAAAATACAAAATAACTTGACTTGGCATTAGCAAACTGCCGTATAATGCTATCACAATTCAATTGCTCCAATTCAACATTTTCTTTATATAATAGTGATAATGCGTCTAGGTTGTCTTGGCCGATATTTGATCTTAAATATGTCTTTATTCTTTTAAAGCCGAAAAAGACCACTTGCCCGATGCATTAGAAATTGGTATCGTCAAATAAATTTGGAGAAAAGTTAAAATATTGAGAAAAGTTGCTTTTACATTCTGGATGACCTCAAAATTTTTTTATTTAAATTTTTGCATAATTCTAGAAAATGAGTAATTTCATTATGTAAGTTCTATTTGGTTTTATCAACATCTTTTTTATATTTCTCGCATAAAATATTAATTGACATCTTGGCTTCTTCTTTATCTGGAGTAAAAAAACATCTAAAGGCTGATGCTACTTCTTTGTAGCATTCAACTCTCTTTGAAAGATATTGTCGCAAATAACATCTTTTCCTTTTAAAATTGTTTCTCTTTCACCTGTTTCATCAAAAATTGTTTTTCTTTGCTCTTTGAAAAATATGTTTGAGATATTCTCGCCTTCACAAAAAGTTTTTGCTTCTATTTTAATTTCGTCAAACTTATTCCTGATTTCTCCAACAAAGGTCAAAGGAAATGTCATTAATTCGACTCCAAATGACACGTTCAGGTCCTCAGTTTCTAATGTTTTGCTTGTTGCATTCACTCTTTTCAAAATTCTTGCCCAAATTATTGTTAATAAAGCTGTCTCAAATGTGTCCATTTTATTACAGAGATTGGCTTCAATTCTTACTGCTGATTTTTCATCTCTATTATATGCTTAACTTAAAAAAAATATGTTTGATAGGTCTGTAGTTTTTAATTAAAGCATTTACAGAGTCAAATCGGACAAACTATCTAGTTTCAATCAATCTCTTTACAGAAGATTTGCAGCATTCTTTCAGTAAATTCCTCCTTTGAGGAGAAGCCGAAAAAAAGGTGTAAATACTTTGAACAGTGCTGAAATAATCAGTTACTTCAAAGTTTCATTCACATGTAAAGTTTACGGCAAGATTCGCACATGGGACATAAATAGCGGTTGATGACAATGCTCGTATTCTTGCTTGAAGTCCTGTATAGCGATCCGACATTAATAATTAGTCAACATTACTTACACTTATAGTTGTTTTGGTATCGGAAATTGGTATAAGATTATATCGAGTTTTATTTGTGGTTTTTGTCCCAAGAAAAGATTGAAAAAAAAACAGGATTGGATAAACCATTCGCCAAAGATAGTCAATAATAATTATAAGCTCTTGTAAGACAATTCTTTTAAATCATAATCATAGTAGTTTTTGTCCTTTCTATGACAAACTGTAAAAATGAATTGCAACGACATGCCTTAGTCAGGGCATATTTCATTTCGTTATCAGATAACAGCCAAAATTTGCATTGGGCTTTTGGGCTATGTTAAAGACCTAAATAATTTTAAAAAATGGGGAAAACAACGATACATGAGAGTACATCTCTCATTTTCATTAAAAATAGGAGTTTTTCATTTCTTAGATCTTGATTTCCTTAATTGTACTGCTTATCTTCTATATTTGTACTTTCTTGTACTGAAAAAATCACTATATTTCAAAGACGTAAAGAAGTATTATAGTCACTCACCGCAGTTAAATAAACTAATAATCTGAAAAGGTTAAATATTTAATGACACAAATGGCACAAATTTATTTAATATATTTGGAATATAACTTACACCTCAAAAATGTAATTTCCTGTATATGATCAAAGCGTCATAACATTTTTTAGATATGCCATTTTTATAACTTATTATTATTATTATTATATAACATTAACTTTAAAAGTCGAAGGCATTTTTTATTTCTCCTGATTTAAATTTAAAGTATTCTTAACTTGAATCGCACATACGCATTTTTACGGAGACTGGATGAAGATTTTTATACAAAATCTTTGTTTTGGAACAAGACTTTATATATAAAAAAAAAATAGTTGTTAATGTCGTTTTTTTACCAATAGTTACCAAGTTAATTTTTGATATATGAAAAATTATAATATAAGGTTTAGATATATGTTTGACAATGTTTTAATGACAGACGAGGATAACACCGAAAAATTCTGCAAATTATTAGAATAAAATTTTTGTTTTTCAAATCTTTAGTAAACGATAAGACAAAGAACTGCAGAGAGAACAATGTATCGTTGACTAAATTAGTCAAAAATCCGCTCTCTAATGATCATTACACAGTATTTTTTACTTCTTTGTCTTGTTTTGCCACAATCACCTGTAGCAATATTTTGTACTTTATTTGACTGTAGTAAAGTTGATTTGTACATATTAACATCCCTGACATTTTTTGCGATACAAAAAAAACCAATTTAATAAGCAAAATTATTAATTATATTACAAAATATTGTGTTTGCATTTCTGGAAATATACTCTCTCTTAATTTTAAAATCAAAAAGCTCCTGTAAGATAATATATAATTTAAATACAAATTCTCAAGTTATTAATATAAGATTTTCTAAAATCACTTGTATATAAGTGAGTGACATGTCGTGTTTTTTGCTTACTTTTTGTAGTTGGTTACAGGGGAGAAAGGTGAACAACATGTACTATATCCCGGTGGTGGCAGCTGTCGTGTAACCTGTCAAATTCAAAATAAAGTTGCCCATCGATAAAATTTTTCATTTTTTGCTTTCTACAAAAAGTACAGAAAAATACTTTTGCGAGCATTTTGTCGTCCAGTTTTGCTATTTCCGGTGTAGAGATTTCGGCCACGTGACTGACTATTTATGTTTTTCGACGAAATTCAGGATATATCTTAAACGTGTTTTTTCTGAATCTAAGATGATATTGCAAGTATTCGTAATGCTAAATTGGGGTTTGAGTGTCATCTTCATCAGGCAGCCATTTTTTTTTTTGGAGTGCCTAATTATTATTATTTAATACACAAACGTTACAGGGCACGTCCTTTTGGATATGACTAATAGTTCAGTAGTGTGATATTTCATGACTAATTTATTGTCTGCTAGATTTTAAGTTATAAACTGACTGAAATGAATGGTATTATACAAACAATATTTGTTACTGTAGTTTTTTTTACCAGTAGTTATACCAAATGATTTTTTCGTATCTGACAAATTATGATATAAGGAGGATGACACTGTTAGTTTGCAGAATTTCTCGTTTTTATCCTCATATAAATGGTTTTAATGTGTTCTTATGTATTGTTGTATTATTTGTCATAAACATGATCTGTCAAATTCTGGTCAGCCATCTACTTATAAGTTATTACCATAAAGCAAATTTGCTTTAGAAATGTTACCATAGAAAATAAGTTATAGTAGACTGTATGTACCATTAATTTAGGAGTATTTTGAACTTTTCCAAAGAAATAAACACTCTTTTGTATATTCCAGTTACAATTTAAAAATGTGTAATCAATACAAGACTGTAATATATTTGCGCTTATTCATATCACGCAATAAACATCACAATGTAATAAAACAAATACCAAAGATATATTAGATAGTAATATTTTTTATTTTTATACCTAGTCTGTTTGCTAAAAAAATCACTTTATAGGATATCTTTATTATTTGTAGCCAAAACTATTAGTCGCTTAGATAAGTAAAAATATTTTTTTTACTAATTGCCTGAGTAATCATCAGTAATTATTTCATTTGTATAAGGAGAAGTTATAATTCTTTACCTAGGTATGTAAGTGATAATAAAAATGCATAAAAACACCAAAATTCAGTACAGGTAAATAGTATTTTCAATTTCTCTGAACACTTTTTACAAAAAGTTTGTCGATAGCATCTGTTCGTATTTAAAATCGCATTTTATTCTTTTTTTTATGGTATATATTTTGTTTTGCATAAAGTGCTGACAAGGTCAAATCCTCGATCCTGCTTTAACTTGGAGTAATAAAAAATTGAAGGAAAAGAAACCACACAGCATCAATGTTGCCATTCAGAGGTCCAGTTACTGATTAGTAGTCCACTGGCAACGTCGATACCATATCCTTTCGTCTCCAACACTAACAAAGCAGAACTAAAGGCTTGATCTTGCCAGTACTATATGTTGGAATGATCCAAATGAAACAAAAACTACTGAATTTTTCATTTGTAGCAGTAAAACATCCGTATTATATAAGGTGATACTAGATTTTTACAGGGATTTGATAAACCAGCGAGATAGAGAGTTTCAGTGACTTGCTTATGATACTAACGACTGCTTCAAGAGAAATTTTTAGCCTAATGCTATCAGGCAACAAATCTACTCTCATGGTAAAATGAGCCACTTCAGTCCTTTGCTGTATACTATTTTTCATTTTTTTTTTCTCTGCTGGTTATGAAATCCCTGTAGAGGAAAATTAAATCGGTACCACCTGTATACACCAATTAATAATGCTATTATAAACCTAGGTATAGAATATATTATTTGATTGTACGATATAAGATTCTTTAAATATAAAGTTAATTATTTTGCACTCAAAGATGTTCGTCAAACGACCAGAACATAACTAAATAGTATAACTACTAAAATTTATTGGACCAAACTATAGAGATTGGACTTAATATACCCTAGTAAAATGTGCTGTGGAAAAAGATATTACATTCCAAACAAAAGTCAGTCGATGATAAGGGTTGCGACATACGATGTATATTCTATCTACAATACGTGAAATCATGAATAATTAATAGATTAAATGTAAAATATTTATGTCAAACAATAAAAATATTATTTTAATTTACGGCTTATACATCTTTCATAAATTGGCAGGCTTGGTGAATATTATTTCGAATCAAAATAGCGTTTAAGATGGAAGACCATGTCGCAACTCCCTTAGATATATAGCTATTGTTTGACAGGTAGTTGAAATACCTAATAGGGTAGGGTGTCAATTTGTTTTTGGTTTTTGTAATAATTTAGTAATTAATTTAATGCTATTTGATGATGAAATTAGATCATAACTTTGTTTTTATATAAAACATTTTGGTATGTAAACATTATGGCATGAAAAAAAAATAATAGAAAAAGGTTGTTAAATTATTACCAAAAATCCTGTGGTTTACTATATATGTTTTTTAGTTATGGTCCACAATGTAAGCTGTTTGTTTATAATAATCTGAAAATAAATTAATGCTTACTAGAAAGGCCTGTAGTATGTTATGGAACAACTTTGTATGTAAGCTCTCTTAATTACTGAACAATGTATTTCATTTCAAAACCAGCCAGTCAACGTTAATTTAAAAAGAACAAGAAACATGTCGACTTTTATTTCATTCATTTGTTTCTAGCGTCCTCTATCAGGATAAAAACTTATTTTTAAGTGTGATACTTCATTTGAAAGCTAATTTTATTAGTCATTTAACGCCTAGCCTAATTATATTTTAGTTGAATGTGATTAAAGTTTGTAGAGATTGCACCATTTTTCAATATAAGTTCATGTTTCATTAAATCATGTTTTGTTATATTGGGCATTAAATTATATTTCATAATTTCTATCCAGCTGGAGGGTGCTACAATCAAAAGTAATGCAATGAATAGGCATATTACTGAATTCTCCGTAAAATTACATTTCAATTAGATTTCTGGGTGTGAATTTTATATGACAATTTGTACCCTTATTGCGAATAAAAGTTGTTTTTTGTTTTTTTTTTTAAATTTACGTAAAATCAAAAATTATTTTAACTGGTTGCTTTTGAAATGGAAGCACCGTATAAAGTAAACCTTGCGAAAAATTTGAAATTTTTCATTAGTTAAATTATTGTACTTTTTTATAGTATACATTACAAAATAATATGTATTGAAGTTTCAAGTTTTGTAAATATTTTTTATACTTTTGTTTTCTGTCGTTTTTTTTACCCTTACTTTGATAATTAGTATAGTCTACACAGGTTCTGTTATAATTCAATATAAGTAAACAGTTCACAAAAAGCGCAAAGGAGCCTAATAAATAACAAATAAAAGACTAAGGCCCGATGATTTTATTGAAATATATACAGTACAGCGCAAGTTAAAGAAATAAATTCATTATTTCGTAACTCGTTGACCTTTTTCAGGGGACAATAACCACAACTAAGACAAGACACAATTAAAAATACCTCTCAATTGTCGACTTCAAATCAATCAAACTTCCTCAATAATACCGAAACGGTAAGCAGTGAGGACCGCTATCATCATAATACAAATCCCACAACGGTTCTAACAAGCAGATATGTCTGCCATGGTTCTCGGGCCCGCACGAAGCCCAGGCCTAGTGTCGAATTGTTTTAATCCTTGTGTGAAACTGTAGATAAATTTGTAAATAAAAAGTTTTAAACGTAGAAGAAAGGTAACTCGTTGACCTAAACTGAGAATAGTAAAAGATAAAGGGTGCAGATTCTATCAGGAGAACGAAACCTCTATTTAACTTGGAGCCACTCAAAATCCTGTATTTCCTTGAGAAGATTGGAATTGCCCCACTCATATTTAACGAAGCTGCCACGTAGAAGACCATAAACAGATTTTTTTGTGAAAAAATACGCCATAAGGGGCGTTTATTAATATTACAATCTAATCAAGAGTTGATCAATGAGTAATTTTGTTATAACCTAACTTAACTAAGGTTGCAATCTTAAAAACTAAAGTTCTACTCGCAAGTATACCTTAGGATTTGATAATTACACTAAACTAACGTGTAACACTAAACCGCACAATGCTTTGCTTTGTTATTAACACAATCACTTGGCTAACTCAAAAGGTTTCACTCTCTTGAGTCTTTTTGTCAGGTTCGTGTTGTCAAGAAGCTGGAACGTTCACATGTTGGTGGAGCCGTTGTTCGTGACTCCTAGCGAATCTGGTGATAGTCTGGTCAACAGTGTCCATCTGAAGGTCTCGATGAAGGTCGCCGTTTCTAATGTACCAAGGAGCATCGACAATGTTCCTCAATACTTTATTCTGGAAACTCTGGATTATTAGAATATTACTGTAGCTGGCACAACCCCAAAACTGAATGCCATAGGTCCAAATTGGTTTGAGAACTTGTTTATATAATAGAATTTTATTATATGTAGATAGGCTAGAATGCCTACCAAGTAACTAGTACATTTTCTTGAATTTTATATCTAACTCTTTTCTTAGATATTTTGCCGAGTTACCATAAGGGATATATGTTCACTGGTATTCTTTGACCATTTTTATTAGTAAAATTAATATTAACAGATTTGGTTTCGTTTAGTTTAATACGCCATCTTTTGGTCCAATTATTTATTTAATTAACTGATGTTTGTAGTTTATTTACAGCCTCTTCATGATCTTTGCCTATCGCTACGATGGCAGTATGATCTGCAAATGTAGCTATTGTGTCTTGTTCTAGTTGGAGTATATCACAAGTGTATAACAGATACAAAGTGGATCCCAGGACGCTTCCTGTGGTAATTCTGCTTTAATTTCTTTCAGAGTATGCTTTACCTTGTTTTACTCCAAACTAAAGAATCTATCTGAAATGTATGAATCCCTTAGCTCTGAGTATGGCTGTGGAAGTAGCACATTCAGTTTATGTTTTAAGCCATCATTGCCATACTTTATCAAAAGCCTGCGCAACATCGAGGAAGATAGCTGAACAGACTTCTTTGTTTTCTAATGCTTTTTCAGTTGAATGGTTTTTTCTAAAGCCGAACTGGCAATCTGGAATAAGTTTCTTTTTCAATGATGGGTTTCAGTCTTTTTATTAGTATTTTTCAAATAGTTTCGATATTATAGGCAATAGAGATATTGGCCTATATGACGAAATTTCGTTCGGAGATTTTCCTGGTTTGGGGATCATAATGATTTCAACTACTTTCAACAACCTAGGGACATACCGTAGTTTGAATGAGGCATTAAACAGGCGTGTAAGTTTAATTATGGCTTTCTTCGGAAGTTGTTTTAAGATTTCTCCTCTAATTAAATCAAAGCTTTCTTAGGATTAATATTTGTTTTTATATCTTCTGCAGTTTCCTTTGGAGAGGTTGGTCTGATAATCGAGTCATCTCTCTCTAAAGGAGCTCAGTTCGGTAATTCTTCTCCTTCATTTGGTTGGAAGGTATTTTGTAAGTGTTCTGCGAATCTATTCACTTTTTGTTTATTATTTCTAGCCTAGCTACCATCAGTATTTCTGATTGGATTCTGCACAGTAGGCCTTTTTAATCGCTTTGTGCCTTTCCATAGAGAATAATCAGTGGATTTATCGTTTGTCACTAAGGTATTCACAAATAGATTCATTTTTGATTCGTCTTATCTCTCTTTTTAACTGCTGGATGGCGTTAAGTTTGGTTTTATCTGATGGAGCTCTGGTCTGATGCCATTTCCTCCTTAGTTTTCTTTTCGAAGAGATTAGGTCCCTTATTTCTTTAAGATACATAGTTATTTCCTGTTGTTCGCTGCACAATAGGTGGCGTATTATCCCATGCTGCTTGTTGTATGTTGGACACAAGTAGTTCTACTTCTTCATCTAGCTGTGCTTTTGTTTTTAATGGAACTGAAAGATTGATTTTATTTTTAAAGTCCAGTCTGAAGCTTTGCCAGCCTGTTCTCCTATTTATTAGTCTAGGAGCGCTTTCCTTTTGGATAATGGTGTCACTATGAGTGAGAAGAATGGGCGAATGATGTAAATTCTCATCAACTTGGATGTAGTTTGCTCAAATATTTCATACAACAAAAAAGTCTATTAGGTCGGGTATTTTGTGTCTATCTGTGGGCCAATAAGTTGGTTTGTCAATTGAATGCGACTCACATTTTAACTCTGTCATTGCTTCTCTTAGGTTTTTACCCTTAATTGTTGTTAGTCTGGAGCCCCAATGGGTGTTTTGCATTAATAAGTCGCCTTCAATGATAAATCTAGGTTCTTGACTATTGAGGAAATCTAGGTATTGTTCTTTTTTAACGGTATGTCTTGGAGGACAATATACAGAAGTGGCCATAACATCAAAAGTTTTAGATTTTATCAATACTGAAGTAGCCTGAAATTCTTCAGTCCTGTATCCCGCTTTTTGATGATGCTTAATTACTTTTCTAATTATTACTGCGCTACCCCCTCTTGCTGCATTTCGGGAATGAATGGTATGATAAACCTTATATCCCTTAAATTTAATAAAGGACTCATTGGTAAAGTGAGTCTATGCTTTCTATGTCTAGGATTGCTTGCAATTCTTGTTGGTTCTGCAGCTGTCCATTCCATTATTATTAGGCTATTACTCATTATATTGTCTCTTAAGTATAGCTCATTTGCTACTATATTCTAACCTAGTAGCCAGATAATACAAATTATTATATTGAAATAAAACAGTTTTTATAAAAGAATTTAAAAATTTATTTAGTAAGTTACACAGTAAAAATGCATTGCTACAGTCATACAAATTAAATACAATTCATAAATAAAGTAAAATTTAAAATTTTTGTTAATAAATAATTGCGCTTATAAACTGTACAACTACATTTAGGTTTTAGAGAAACTCACAGCCTATTCAAAAATATATAAAACATTGAGGTAAAGATAAGCTTCTTTCGTTCGGTATTTAACCGAATAATTTTTAAACTTAAACATACTAAAATAAAAACGGATTTTTTTCCAACAAAGGTAATCAGTAAGTAACATATTGAGACTATAGGAAAACTAATTGTAGGTAACAATAAATAAAAGATTTATAGAATTCTATTAATAAACAAATTGACGAACTGTTAATAACCAAATAGTCTCTAGTCATTCAAATGAATAAAAGTTGCCTATAATACAATATTAAAAAATAATTTAAGAATCCACTTTGCGACATAAATGAAAATTCTAAAGAGAAAGTTAATTCTTCAACATATATTTTAAGATAAATAAGTATACTTTGTTATTCATTTTGAGTACACAAACATTTTACTAGATATAATACCATTTTCGTTTTAATATACCACATACAAGTATGATTTAGTACAAACATAACAACTCTATAATAAAATATAAATTTTGATTACAAAAATTGAAGGCACCAATTCGTTTGATTAGTTTCAAAAAATTTTAACAATTAGAAATGTAAAATTTTGTATTTCTACACTCTGTCCTATTTTCAATAAAGACTTAACAACTTGTCGAAGGACAGATAGACGATAGACGGATTACATATCAAAAACTAAATGGACATACAGTAACAGTGGACGATACATGAATTATGATACGAAAATTTTGAATGAAGATGACCCATGTGTATATGCCGGTGTAAATAAGAAAGGACGCCGGCTATATCTAAAGAGATTTTTTATTTAGAAAATTGATGCATAAAAATCGCTCAAAATTGCTTTCAAGTTTCTAACTTCGTCGCTAGGAGAAGTAAAGCTCATGGCCAATGATAAAAACTATGCCCATTAGGAAAGTTTGAAAAGATGCTTAAATTTGGTAGTGAAAATATATTTACGAGAATCAAAATCCAATGCATCTTCAAGTGCAACAGCCTTTTTAAATTTTTGACAACTCACTTTGTCAAAACTGTAGTTTCGATACGAGCGCCATCCCATTAATTGAAGTTATCTTCCTCATGTTTTTCCATTTGAGTTGCCAAATTAAGTTATGTCATAAATCTGTGCTAAATTTACTCAATTTTTTTGACTACTTACTCGTTTATCTATTTATCATAAGCATTGCGCCATCTAGTGGTGATTTTAGAAAATTGAAAATAATTTCCAGAGATTCTTCTGTTTTCCCCAAAATTCTACGATGCGCAGTTTCTGAGATACAGGCTATATCCTTCAACCGGTGTCCTTTCTTATTTGGACACCCAGTAATATTAAGTGATAATTTGAACCAAAATATATTCTAATTGAAATGAACTGAATGAGTTAGAATAAAGGCTTGTTTATAGAAAAAGCTCTAAATTAAAAAACAAATACTTTTATATAATGAACAAATAATATCGTTTGTGGTTATAATTTGATTTTTTTAAATATTTAAGTACAAATATGTAAATTATTGAACACAAAAGTTACAATAAGCAGTAGTGCCATCTATATTAAGAATTAAATAACTGGACTGTAGATTCATTTTAAAAACATGGAGGCATAATCGGTTGTCACTTTGTATTTTCAAATTTTGTTTGAAATACAAATATTTGTGCACATATTAAAATATTAAAAATAATGGAAGACAAAATGCATCTAGATAACATTTTAAAAACATTGCACAATTTTATTACAAAAAAAATAAATATATTTTCTTAAATTTGTTAAAAATGCATTTTTTACATATTCTCTACACTTTCCAATAATAACTGGCTAAGCAAATATGTCTATTTAAGGCTGAAAAACTTCGAATATCATTAAAATGGTAGTTGAGAATATATACTTAAAAAAATACTTGTCAAAAAGATCATTTTAAAGCCAGGTATCCAAATATGAGATATTTATATCTCATTAATTTAGAATATATTTTTATATCTAATATAATATCAAGAAAGGAAAAGGTCAACAAATTTGCGAGACCCAGTTTAAAAAATACTGTCAGTCAATGATTACTACAAAATATATAAAGACACAAAAAGTTAAAATAGTTTCAATACAAAAATATCAACATTATACAGTTTCATTCAAAGATAAATTTTCTTCTTTCACAATTAAATATTAGTATTAATATACCCACAAAGACATCACCGAGGTGCTAATTCGAAAAATAATCAAACGCACAGTTGTCAAACTGTAAAAACAAAGTGATAATATGCATTTTGCCAAGGAACATGCATTAATCTTCGTAATGTCCTGCTGTGATTTTAAATATTCAATGTAATATTGGTACTTACAACACTTTCTTTTCTCTTGAGATATTTACAAACATAATTATAAACTAAATCGTAACATTAAATTACAGTCCAATTCTGGACCTGTTTGCAAGAGTGCCTTTACGACTGGATTCTTTGGTTAGTCAAAGTTGCAAAAAAAGGAAAAAATATCTTTGAACAAAACTATCCGCAAAAAGGATATGAAAGTTGCCTTAAGTACATTTCGAACATTAAAGAAATAAATTACTATTTAAAATCACATTATTATTTGTAAAATATGTTTAAATGAATACTTGGTTAAAGTCTAGTAAAAAATCAGGTTATATGTTTTTAACATATAATAATATTTGGCAACTTCCATAGCATTTTATACAAAATAAATTTATGAATATGTATATACAAATACTTTCATAAATACTTACTTCCGATTTATAAAGGCGGATTTCTTGAGACTGTTATAGTTTTTAAATTGTTCAGTCTTTGTCGTGCATCTTGATAGGCTACCATGGGTTCCATAAGAGAATAGTCTATTTCATCAATAGCTAATATTTTGTCTCCTATAAAGAACTTATGGAATACCTCACTTTCAGGATTCAGATCGTCCAAAAATAAACCCTGAAAACAATAAATTAAAAAATTATCAAGGATCTTAAATTCTATACCATGGTATTAAGATACTAACATTACTTTGGACGACAATCCGAATATCTCCAGTTAAATATGATTCCGGTATTTCAACTTCCAACACCTGACACACTTTATGCTTTCCAAAAGGCCATTTAACCTGCTTTGACTGATTCAATTCGTCCTCAACTAAATGATTTTCGTGCATTTTGTTATCAGCTATTTGTATCATTGACATATGGTTTCTATGACTGGGCAGTTTAGGTGTAGGCATGTGAATATTGGCAGGTTGCTCTTGACTAAATTGTTTTGGTTGATCCATGGGACTAGGAGGACCCATGTTGTTTTGGGCAAATAGATGCGCGTTCTTGAAAAATAATATTTCAATTAAAAATTGTATTTAACTTTAATCACAAAAAATAAAAACGCTTTAAATAAAACAACAATATATTTATTTAGCTCGTGGGTCTATAATACAAAGTTATGTTTAAAAAAGACAGTTGGACTGGATCATAACTCCATAGAGCATTCCCAACCAGCACACTTTTCTTGTAACCTATTATAGAACATTCAATTCTTATAAAGGTTTTATAGTTGTTTCAGAATTTCAATATTGACTCATAAATATAGCAAATGATGCAATTTAGCTGTTAAAAACAAAATAGCACTATAATATTGTTATATAAATATTCTTACAGCAATATTTATTATATGTTATACATTTTTCTTGTAAGAGATACTCCAATTTCTTTTTTAAGGCTTTTTGATTTATAACGGTTTTATATTTGTCTTTAGTAACATTTTAAAAGTAAGTATAAATATAAAAACGTCCAAATTTATAAAGCATGCTGTTTGATATAACAATAAGATACATTGGTTATATATTTAACACTTTTAAGAGAGCAAACATAGCAATTACAAAGTAAAACGCCATACCAATAAAGAATAAAAATTTATTAAAGGAGGATAAAATTACTTATGTCTTATTGCTTTTTAAAGATTCCGAATAAAGAGTTCTTACAAATGTAGCATCAAAGTGTTTACGGTTCAAAACACAGTAACTTTAAATTTGTCTTTAAAATAATATTTGAGATTGCTTTATTACACCCTTGTAAGTATTTACAAATAATATTTATTATATTTTGCGGCACATTAATAAAGCATTTATATAAGAACTAAAAAACTTTTTTGATTTATAATTTGGTGCCCAATTTAAGCTCACAAGAGTATAAAGCCTGTAAGGATATCTACAAGTAAAATTGTAAATCTTATTCTCTTATAAACATTTACTTTAAGAATATTCTTACAACTCTTATAAACCTGTCATGTGCTACTTGGGATAGATCATTTTTTGATCCCCATTCAAATTCCACTATTCTCTAAACCTCTATGTCGCTTGAAAATTATTTTAAATAATTATATATGATGGCACCAAGTCATACAATCATACCTGATACAACTTACCTTTGAATAAACAGCTGCTATATGGTAAGGAGGAGGTTGCTTAGGAGGTGTTTTATTTATTTCCCTTATTATATCAGAAACGTTTTCGGGTATTTCTATGGGATCATACCCATTTAAGCTAGATTGGGATGTATTTAAATCTCCTGAGATATTCGTTACTTTGGCTTCTTTGATTTCAGACACATTTAAAGCCTAGAAAGGGATTAATCATAAAAAGTTAACTTTTTTTATTTACAGAAAACTTACACGTTTATTTGATCCATGGGAATTCCGTAAAACTTCTCTAAGTCTTTTTAACTCTTTATGATGTGGAGTAGGTGTGCGACTTAAAGATAAATGTACATCTGCAATATCAGACTCGTTTCTTTCAGTGTTAAAACTAATACGGCAATTTTGATTTCCAATTGGTAGCTGTACAGGTGGAGGATCTCTCAAAGGTGTTTGTGGAAAAACAACTGAAGTTAATACTACTTGTCCGTCTTGTAGCGGCTCATTTTGTAAATGGATGAGAGGTTGGGTCTGATTTGGAGTTAACCAGAGTGCTTTTAGATTACGCAGTTTTGAGATTGTTATTGGAAGGTAGGAAAGCCGGTTTCCAATTAGTCCAAGAGTAGTCAGGTTTTGAAGGTGCCCAACTTCTTCTGGCAGTTTCTCAAGTTGGTTATTGTGAACGTTTAAAATTGATAATTCACAACAACTACCTATTTCTATAAAAAAAATCAATATTTATGAATTTGGCTTAACTTAATTGCACAATACTAAATCTTGTAAATACTCTAGTTCAAAATGATATTGTTTCCTGAGGACTTAAAGAGCAGGGACTGAAGTTGGATATGACCAGCTCTAAATAGAAAAGTAGCTTCTTACGGGTATAAACAACTTGTTATAGATGATAATGAACTTAGAGAAAACATGTGAAACAAAAAATAAAGAATTACTAGCTGTTGCACATTGTTTTCACTTACCTGCAGGCAGTTGGTGCAACTTGTTATCTGACAAAATTAATGTAGCCAATTTCCTTAAATGACCAATACCGCTAGGTAATTTAATTAAAGAATTATTCTGTAAATTCAGTTCTTCTAAATTAACCAATTTACAAATTGTACTAGGCAATTCTTCCAAAAAATTTGACTCCAATTTTAGTACTTGAAGATTTCTAAGATTTCCTATAGCCTTTGGTAGGGAAGACAAATTATTAAAGCTTAAAATTAAGTTTGTTATTTTCGTCCAATGACCAATTTCTTTTGGAATTGATTCTAGATTGTTATATGATGCGTCAAAATCATTGATTTTCTTTAAATGAGTTATAGATACAGAGAGTTGTGAAATGTTGTTTCCATTTATCCACAGTTCAGTCAAATTACCATGGGATTCACCCACTTCTGTCTAAAAATATATAAACTATATGTATTTATTGTTGAATGAATTTGAAGTAGGTTTACACAAACTATGCTATAATCCAACTTCTCACAAATAAATAAAAGGAATAATGTCATAAATATACTTACCAAATTAGATAAATTGTTATCACTAACATCCAGTCTTTGTAAGTTTGTCAAGCGTCTAATGGATTTTGGCAATTCGCAAAGATTATTATCTCTTAATTCTAATATTCTCAAATTAGACAAGCGCCCAATATTGGCAGGAACATAATCAATGTCCGTGTCATTAAGGCATAGCTGCTGAAGATTAATAAGACTCATTATGGCTTCTGGAACTTTTCCCAAATCATTCATACTGAGATCAAGCATTGTGAGTTTAGTTAATTTATCTAAATTTGGATGAACACCGTCTAAAACTGGTAAACAATGTTTTAAGAATTGAAATATTTAGACAAATCGCCTGATTTTATTTTTGTTAGATATCCATTGCATTACCCACTAGGCTATTTGTCAATTTGTGGAGTTGCTGGTCAGTAATGTTGATGAATATGTCAGCAAGATCATTATTAGTACAGTAAAATGGGATATCTTCACCTAAATTTGTTGAATAAGCTAAATGATTATGATCTCAGAGGAAAAATATTTGAATTGAGAACACAAAGAGTACATTCAGGAAAATCAAATATGGAGTACCTCAAGGTACTGTATTAGGTCCCCTACTGTTTTCCCTTTGCATAAACGGGTTGTTGGAACTTAACTTAATGGGTAATATAAGTTTTGCCGATGATTCAGTAGTTGTATGCAAGGCTAACACTTGGAATGAAGTAAAAACTGTAGCAGAAAGAGAATTCCAAATTATAAGTAAGTGGTTCCAGCTAAACACATTGACAATTAATTTTAATAAAACAAAATTTATGTCATTTGCCTCATATGCCAATAACTTGCCAACTTTCACAACACTTCATATAAAAAACCATTCTCTCATACCTAGCACAGATCAAATAAAATATTTAGGGGTTGTATTGGACCAACATCTAAAATGGGATTTACATATCAAATATGTCATAAATAAATTAAGAGGAATATTACCTCGTTTTAGGTATTTGAAATTTTTTTTAGATATAGCATCTTTAAAAACACTATATTTCTGTCTTGTGCAATCACATTTAAATTATGGCTTACTAGGATGGGGGAGAGTCTATGAGGCACACATGAGGCACTTAGATGTTATCCAAAAATGGATTTTGAAAGTTATACTTAACAAAAACAGAAATTTTTCTAGTGACTTACTTTTACAGTCATCTAAAATATTAGATATGAGACAACTGTTTTTTCAGAAAATAGCTATAAATATTTTCAAAAACAAAGAAATAATAACAAAAGTTGATCATCCATTTAATACTAGATATAAAATAGATAGCTATCAGTTACCTCGTGGAAAAAAAAAAAACTAGGTTGCAGATCATATTTATCTCCTAGAGTGTGTATAATATACTTCCCACTGAAATCATTGAAACAAAAAGCTTAAATTCATTTCCAAAATCGTTAAGTTTTTGGATATTGAGTCACCCTAGGCAAATGACATTATAAATCAAAATATATAAAACATGGGTTAGTTAATGTAAGTATATCGAATATTCAAACTTTTTATAACTCTAAATAAGGCTTTAGTTACCAATTATGACTTTATTCTGATATAGACAAAACATTAATCAATAACTAGGCAATAATATAACCACACACAAGTAAACTTAGCTTGCTAAGCTTACTCTTCCTCTTGTTTATTAGTACCATTTATGTATTTTTTTATATTGTATATTTTGAATATTGTTATTTTTACTAATAAACTTATTATTATAACTACATTTGTTGGTAATCCAAAGTACACTGTGTACCTAGATTTGCACAAAAATTATAGTGTGACTGCAAAAAAATAAATACAATATATTGTTATATGGTATCACACACACAGACAATAGCATGACCTGTCCAATTTAAGTTAATTTATGTTTTCTATTTTTTAGGGTTGCAATACATGTACAATATAGTAAAAATATTGTTTATTACCATTTTTACTAAAAATTAACACTTGCAGATTGGTCAATTTTGATATTAATGGTGGGATGCCTCGAATTTCATTATCACTCACATTTAAATACCTTAAATCAATGCACTGAAATAGTTGTGGAGATAAATCCTTCAGCTAAAAATTAAAAAAAAATCTTTTAATATGCAGAATATTTTTCAAATAAGTTGAAAATTAATAAATCTACTATAGGGTGACCATATTTATATTGACCCAATGCTGGATGCTGAACATGAATACTACATTATTGCTAAACTTTGGAGAGGTGATTCCTTTTTAAGCTCCCCAAAGATAGAAATACAGAAGAGGTCATGAAAAGGACCTTTTTTTGGCTCGCCAAATATAAATAAAACAGAGAAATCATGTATTTTATTTTTGTCTTGTTATGTATCAGTAAATTATGTATTACATTGCTTGACAATAATGTCGTTTTGCTGGACAAATACAGCGTTTTGCTGTACAAGATCAAATCCTGTACATACTTTGAAAATGCTGTGTATAATAAACGAAATGCTGTACGTTTGGTCACCCTAATCTACTACAAATATTTGATTAATCGCTTACTTTATTTCCTTCTAAATGTAGAACTTCTAAAGTAGGCGAGTTTGCATACACTTCGTTGGGAATATCTGATATCCCACAACGTGAAAAATCTAGTTCTATTACTTTTTCGTCATTAGATTTACATTGACAGCACATTATCCAACCCATTGCTTTTAAATTTTATTTAATATCAATTCATTTTGAGATATATACTTTGTAAATTGCTCCAGTCTTCAAGAACCTCTTTTTATCTATTTATTTACTTGGGAATATTGCGGACATTGCGGAACATTTTCTAATATATTATTATTATAAACATTCTTCTTCTCTTCTTCAGAGACTGTCACCACAACTGTCTCGAATAGTTATGGTCTCTTACCTACCTAAACATAGCGAGCAGCCATTTTGATGTAAATACTGGTTAGGCAACACATATGTACCCAAAATGTTAAACTGGTAGTATATATTCAGGTATTTTAAGAATTTAAATGATTGAAAAAAGTTTATATATTTTTATTAAACAGGACTTCTTTAAATTTTATATTTGTCGTGATGGGATGGGACAAATTTGCCATGAGATAAAGTGGGGGTATGATTCATATTAAATATAACTTAATGAATAATTAATTCCACAAACTATAAACCATTTAACAAATAATTTTAATGACCAATAACTATATTGATAATAACGCAATACAAAATATTTCTTGCTTATCGTACCAAAAACAATAAATATTTTTCTGTCGATAAAGAATGAATAGCGGTGATTCACCGCGCTATACCTATCTTCATTGACACCCCACCGGGATATAAATCTGGGTAATGTATCGACAGAAATTACTTCTAAAGGTCTTATTATTAGACTAAAACTAATTCAATACCCAATAAGGCATAGCTGAAGGACAGTTGTTTTTCAATAGAGAAACACATGGCTTTAAGGTTGATTTGATTTTATATTAGATGTACCAGCTGATCCAAAGGGGGCAACGGAGCGATAGCCTCCCCCTAGAGAGTACCTAATAACTAATAATCCTAGTAGGTAGTTGATACCTACTTCTATTTACCCTTGAAATGTATTGAAACAAATTTGCATACGATTTGAAACCATCAAAATGCCTCCCTTGGAAAAGTTCTGGATCCGCCCCTGCTTTATAGTCCAGCTACATCAAACAGGTAACTGAATAATATAAATTCTAAATATTCTGGAAGTGGAGGAACTGCGGTATCCTCACAGCCTTAAGAATAATAAGGCTATGGTATCGTGCTATTGATGAGAAAACATTTACGTTCTCTCCTAATTCATAATAATTGTTTAACTTATTAGCGTCATTTATGTGTGATGCTGAGAAAGTTGTAAATTATAAATGTACTTTGTCGGCATATGAGTCACTCGTATGAGCTTCTTTATTGGGTTCTATTTTACACAGTTGCCAGACCATTCAAAATGTACCTGCCGCTTAAGAATTACAGAAATGCCACAAAAATAGAATCTATAAGGAAAACATTGCAAAAAGTAACATTAATAATGCCAGAACAAAAACAATGTTACTGACGACTAGTGCAGACAGCTCTTTTACATTGCGATTATCCTACTATAGTTCTTCATACTACGATAGATCTATTGTGAGACTCCGTTATTTAGAGTATATATGTCGTCTAGCTTGGTCTTTTTTATTAGATTTAGTAGCCTTGTCAGTGGCTTCCGCATGTCATACTTCTGGCTTTTCATTGTTAGAAGCCTAATCTAGCCAAGTCTTCACACTGGCACAAGATGTGGATTGATGTTTCCTCTTCTTTTTCACAAAACCTGCACAATGTTGCTTTTTTTGCTGGAGTGATGACCCTCATTGTTTTCTTATGCGACTGTGTCCGGTAAGAAGACCTACTATATACAGTGGGTTCGCGGATGGGGGTACCCAATAGGGAAAACATCTTTATTATACGTTCATGTTACGTCAGCATCTTATTACATCTTATTTCAAAATTTGTATTCAGACTTTACGTTCAATTTTGTTTTATTACATTTTTTGTAAAATAATATTAAATAATGGTACTTATCGCTTGAAGCATTTTCATACTTTCCTAATTTAGTAACACCCTGTAGATGTGTTCTAAAATTTTCTTATCGTCAATTCATTTTCTCAACAAGCAGAACTTTTTATAAAGAATGGCTTTTGGGTACTCATCCCATCCGCGGACACACTGTATATTATCCTATTCAAATGCTTTTTTCTTGAAAATGGTGCGTCCTAGCGAGATGCAACAAAAGTAGCTTTATTATAAAGAAAACATTGGTTTTCCAAATTTTATAGTCAAAAATGTTAAAAACTGTCAACAAAAAAAAACAGGGCAATTTTATCCTAAGCCCCCCTAATTTACCCACCTATGAAGATGGTCAAAAACTGGGGTTTCGTCCATTAAATAAAGCCTAAAAAGGTAAGCATTTGTACCAAATTTCACTTAGTTATTTTTAAACGTTTTGAAAATATTTACAAAAGAGTGTCATCAGGACTTCAGTTTTAACACCCTGTATCTCGGAAAAGAAACGTTTTCGGACCTATGTTGATATGAACTTTTACTCCTACTTTAGGATGTAGATTATGCTGTCAAAATATGACCGTCTAATTTCGGGACACTCTGTATTATAAGAATGTAACAGGAAAATAACTAAAAGTACATCGTACAGTTGTAATCTGGCAACACCGCTATCTGCATTTGAATTTTTCTCGATCCGTCAACTCTTATTAGTTATGTTTCCAAGTGTATTGGTGATAGTTGTGGATAGAAGAAATGTATGTATTTAGATAGAGGGATGTTGGATGTTGAGTTTATTAATTTTAAGGCTACACTACCCAATGATTTACACTTTATATGGATTCGCCATATTTTTTTTCATATTTTGGTGTGGAATATGGGTAGTTCATTTGATAGCTTTATTTTACGGGTAAGATTTCTCATACATAACCTCAATCGCTAACTTTAAACCATTTTATTAGGTATTAAATGTGTTAAATAATGTTTTTCAGTAAATACAGACTGCATAGGAAAGTCAAACCGTTAAGCACAGATGAACCATACCCTGGGGTATCTATATTGAAACCACTTATGGGAGTAGATCCTCACTTGGTTTCCAATTTAGAAACATTTTTCACTATGACCTATCCTATGGTAAGTATTCTGAATTATAATTATAATCTTTAGCTTCTTATTTATTTCAATATTTTAGTACGAGATTCTTTTTTGCGTGGAAGATGAAAAGGACCCTGCACTAGATGTAGTAAATACATTATTAGAAAAATATCCGAAGACCCCTGCTAGGGTCTTTCGCGGAGGCTCAACTGTAGGTGTAAATCCAAAGATTAATAATATGAACAAAGCATATGAGGCTAGTAGTTACGATTTAATTCTCATATCAGATAGTGGAATAAGAAGTAAGTATCTATTCATTTTTTTGTAATGGAATTATCTTCTGTAGGTCATAAACAATTATTTATATAGCCCTCCTTAAGGCAATTAAAGCAATTTTACAGATGCAATAATAACCTAACATCTTTGTTTCTCACTTCATAATGGTATATTATATAAAATTTATTATTAAGTGTGTGAAAAGCATTATGTAGATGAAATAAATAGTTGTGTTTAAAGTAGCATATCATAATGTCAATTTTGAGAATATGTGGCTGAAAGATATATTTCATTACAAACAATATTATTTATTTACAATGTATATTAATTTGGATTATTTTAGTGAAGGAAGACACATTACTAGATATGGTAGTACACTTGACTGAAAAAACAGGCATTGTCCATCAAATGCCTTTTACTTCAGATAGGATTGGATTTGCTGCAATTTTGGAAAAAGTACGACTATAAATTAGTGTTTTATTATTCTATTTAAGCTAAATTTCTTTTATAGATATATTTCGGGACTGCCCAGTCAAGAATGTACCTAGGAGCGGATTTTTTAGGTGTAAATTGTCACACTGGCATGTCCACATTGATGAGAAAACCAGTTCTCGAAGAACACGGTGGTTTGAAAACTTTTGGCTGTTATCTGGCTGAAGATTTTTTTATTGCAAAAGCATTCCTCGACAAGGGATGGAAAACTGCCATTAGTAGTCAGCCTGCTTTACAAAATTCTGGTATCTGTGATGTAAATAGCTTTCAAGCCAGATTAACAAGGTAAGATATTATTTTTTTATGCATTTGCCACCTGTTATTTTAATTAAAAATTTAAGCACACTTAAAGCATTGAGGAAGTTATTATAGCCATATAAATCTTGGCAGGGCTATTAAACATGTTATTGACTTGAAAAATAACCTTGAGCTGAAGTTTGCCATTTCTTAATTTTTTATTGTAAATAATCTCTAACTATGATGACTAAGGACCATTTATTTTTATTATTTATATTTTGATATTATTAATTATAATTTTTAAATACCTATATCATTATTTGAACTGGGTAATCCAAATAGATTTTAATACTAAAATAATACTATTTGCAATTCATTATAAGGATTTCTATATTGCTCCAATTATTTTAATAAATAATCTTAAATTTTATTGTAAAATCTATATATTATTGGGTAGAGATTTAAACAAAATAATGAGGTACATACTTGCCATATGCCCCTTATTTCATTCAAAAAAAAATTCTCAAGGGAATTCTGATCAAATATTGTCAGAAATATACATAATTTAAACAAAATTTAAAAAGCAATTAAATATAAAAAATTACATAAATAAAAATGTATCAAAAATTAAGAATTAACAAAAAAAAAAATGATGTGACAGTGAATTGATGAAGGAAGCATTTCCTAAAAAATGCAACAGTGTAAAGAGTGTGTATATTCAAACAATTATGAACATGACACTCTGCTTAAATAATTTTCATTTCATTTAAATCTATATATGAAAATATTCTTTTTACCTTTATCGATATCTATATTATTATACAGGGTGTTTCAGATTTAAATGGACACAACTTAATGGGAGGTAGAGTACACTTAGCTGAGTTCAAAACACCCCCATACTTAGCCTTTAATCTTACTCGTTTCTGAGATATAGGGTGTTTTATGATTTTTTGCCAAAACTAAAAACGGCCATTTTGTTTGAACGGCTAGAGATATTTTGATAAAATTTTCTTAAGTTAATCAAAACCATAATTTAATTTTAAAAAATTGCAGGACTGCACTCTCTTTTTTTATACTGCTCTTCTTAGCTAGAATACCACCCAGTATATCGGATTTTAATAAATGTTACTGCACATTTAAATAGTATGTGGATCAATAAATAAAATAATATAATAATATTTAATGGCACCACCTTGATTTTTTTACAGTAAATTTTTATAATGGTGACTACAATATTATAAATCAGTATTTATAATATTAAAATCAAATATTTTACTCTGTACTTTTAAAACTACACGAATTAGGTACCATCAACATTTTTATTTAAGTACAGCATTTTCCATTAGGAAATTGAACATCTACACAGGACCGGGCTCACTTTATTTAATAAAGTAGTAGAACAAACTAACAAAAACAAATATCAATACTATTACAAATAGCTAAAACTAATCTAAGTTTCAGATATATTTGATAGGATCGTTTTGAGAAACATTTTATATTGAATATAAACAAGGAAAATATAGTATGTTACATGTTAAAAAATATAAAATTTAATGAAAAATGTCTGTTTAATGACATGAATAGTTTTAAAGATATAATAACCGAATTATATCTAAATTTAGTACATTCTGTTGTGTTTTTTTCAGAAAAAAACCATATTTAAGACAGACATTTTGATACAACTTATTTATTTATATAGAAAAAATTACAACCCAACATTGAGAATGTGGAGAAATAGATCCCTTAGCCTCCCTTTGTATTCTCATTATCACAAAAAAATATTTTTCTTTATTTAAATGATAATATGCAATACCTACATAATAATTTAAATTATTACAGATCTAATTCTCACCCAAATAAAGGTTATTTAATTGCTCTTTCCCTTGAACTTTACTAAAGTAAAACATAGTTTATTTACAAAAGAAATGTATTTATAATTTTTCAAATTATTCACCTTCACACTAAATGCATTTTTGCATCCGCGAAAACAATTCTTGAAAACATTTTCTACAAATATAATAAAATAAACAATGATTACTGTGACTTGGAAAATACCTTATTTATTTATATATGACAAACAGAATTATGTGTTTATAATAAACTGAATTCATCAAATAGCTATATTTAAATTTAGACTAAAAAAAAACTCTTGATCTATGATATTTTAGTTTAGAAAAGTTTATCTCTTTCTCTTCGGACAGCAAAGTTGATATACATAATATCCTTTCTGTATTTGGTACAGCAGAACTAAAGATTAGCACTTCAGAAATTGTACTGTAAGTAATGCCATGAGAAGGAAAACAGAATTTAATCATCGAACCTTTGGTTGTGAGAGAGAAAAACATATTTTCGCTCTTGCATATCAAGTTGGGGCTTATGAAGGAATTTGTGCAGGCTTTAGTTTAGGTTGAAAATGAGTGAGATAATCCCATCGCCTTCCACAAGCCATACCTTTTGATAAGGGCTATGGTTGAATTGGAGCGAGACTTGTTAAGTCATTAGGCTCCAGTCAGGTGAATCTAAAGATCTGGAACCTAGTTTTTTTCCAAAACAGAGCAGGAGAGATCTAGAAATGCCAAAGTAAGAGATATGGACTCTAACCAAAAATATGCAAACAGACTGGAAAGAAAGTAAATAGAGTTTGGAAAAGAAGGTGTAATAAAGAGCTATTCGAGTTGTATAAAAAAAATCTAGATGATTTTAGTGAAGAACGGGGAGGAAGATTCAATCAGCATATTAAAACTATGGAAGATTGATTTCATAGATGATGGCAGACTTGAAGGCTTTAGTGAAACTGTTCTAGTAAACTCCATGCTATAAAGTCGTATAAAAGAACATTTTTAAGTGATAACTGATGCATTTTATGAAATTAATACTTTATATTTTTTACTAGTAACTAGAGCACATGATTTTATTCTATAAAAGGCCATCTGAAAAAGTACATCTACAGGAACAAAAAGTTACTGAATGAATATCAGGTGCTTGGATTAGCCAGTTTTTTTACGAGTCTCCTTTTATTTGTTTAGAATCAATAAAGTTAATCGAATCATATGTTTCCGTAAAATACTGATTGATTTTTTAGAATTTTTATGACACTTTCGGTAATACTTTATAGAAAGTATTCAGGACCCAGTCAGGTGGTCTGTTTAATACTGATAATAGTAAAATCGACAATATCCATTGAATCACTGATAATATGAATTGCTCTCTTAAGATAGAGATCGATTTTTAGATAGCTAAATCTTGACGTAAAACTGATATTACAATAAGTGTTTTATCATATTTTTGTCTAATCAAATTATACAGTTGTTTGGGTTTTTTCTAAATTAATTCATTCAGAGTCGCTGCCCTGGCCCACTATACGCTACGCCACTGCTCTACAATACTTAAAAGATCTTTCTATCTTCAATTTTCGAACTATGTTATGACTGTCAAAGCTGTTGAAGAGCTTCTTCATTGCCGTTCTGGTCTAGTCTGACTTCATGTCTCTTGATCTCGTTTGCTGTCATTATTTAAGATTCACCTAAATAAAGTTTGTGTGCGGATTCAATATAGAAATAATATAGAAGTAATATAGAAATAATATAATATAGAAATAATATAATATAGAAATAATTCAATCAAAGAATTTTAGCACAAAACAAAAAGTCTTTATTTTTCACAATTTTTCAGAGAAAATTAGTTCATCACAAGTGGGTATAAAATGCCAAACTTTTACGTTTTTTCCACTGAAAAATAGCTTTTTGTTGAGACAGTCATGTGTCTGTGTATAAACTCAAGCTATTCATGATGTTTATATTAATGATAACTACGCCTGGTTTTGAAATAAATCTAAACTGACACCCCAAAAAGAAGAAAACTTATACGCTCCTACATGCGCTAATTTTTCCTATGCATACTTTATAAAAAGAAATTGTGGATTACTCCATATAAGTAATAATAAGTAACTTTATTGTCATAAAATATCAAATCATATAATACAATAATCATGTAACTAGCAAAGCGAAGTGTTAGACAGACAGGCCTACATTATTATCTTCAAATATTTGTTTTTAACACACCTCATTAATTATGGCTAGTTTACTCATCATCTGACATTCTTATTTGCGTTATCAATATTTAGCTTATTGTTACAGGTACAGATAAGATTGAAGCCTTACATTACTATAATCGTAACGTGATATAATCTCTAAAATTTATCAACGGAACTTTCAAAATATTATTTAATATACAAGGTTGGGCAAAATTAGATGGGGGCATTTTTTGATACACGTATTTTTTTATGACATCATTACTATTCGAGATAGGACATCATCACCAGTTTTTTTTAAATGGCAACACCCTTGATATTAAGAATTAAGAGATTACTTTTTACGTACACACAAAAAAAATAGCTTCACTTAAATAAATTTGATTTGACTTAAAACCCGTTGTGATTTGATGGATTATAGTAGGCGTTACAGAAAAAAAGTCATCTAATTTTACTATGAACTTTGACTGAGGTTCACTGTATCCAATAATGCTCTATTCTTGTTCCAATTGCGGGGTATATTTTTTTCAATAAATTATCTTCCAACGAGGAGAAATGGTCCAAAGTTATATGATTTTCTAAAATAAAAAGATGTACAGTAAATTTAACCACAGTTTCTGGGATAGAAAATAAACCGATTTGATCTAAGTTAATTTTATAAAAAATGGATAGTAAAAAAACTTACAGGGTGTTAAAGTAGGAATTTTAGAAAGGAAGGAAAATGTACATGAGATGTATACAGTTACCAATAAAATGAAGTCAGTAGCATTCAAAAATGTTTCAATTCCATAGGTTTTTAGAAGGGGTTTGTACCCCTTTGACCCTCTACTTTTTTAGACCATGAAATTCGGTTAAAAAGAGCACGCCGTCGAAATCCTACATCTGTTACGAATTTTTGTATATCACCTTGTATTTGTTTGTGAAAATCCCAATTACTGAGTTATAGGTCCTTGAAAGAAGGTTCTATTGAAAAATATTTACAATAATTATTCTCTTGTATTCTCTTGAACAAGAATGA